TAGGGGATAACGCAAATATAATTTAAGAAGATAAACGCAGAAAAAAGTAATATTAACACAGTTTATAAACAAACTAGCATATTTTTTAACATACTTTTTTTAGTAAAATTAACATTTACGAAATATTAAACGAATAAATTAATACATACTTCATTTATTCATTTTACAATTTACATTTTAAAACACATTATGTTTATTTGTTCACTTACTTATAAATTGTGTTACTTTGAAGCTAAGAAATCTTGAATATCAATTTAGCACAACCTATGTAAACATCATAATTACATTATGTTAAATTAACATTCAAATATGTTAAAAAATTCAACACAAAATATTAACTGAGGCTTGAATCGTTTCCAATACAAACACAAAATGTTTTTTTATTGTAGTTTACCTATTTTTCGCAGAAAATCATGATGGTATAAATGACCTAAGCTGTTCCTTTAGAGAACAAAATTTTATTCGACAAAATCATCCTTACATGCGTAACGCTACGTCGCTCTGCGGGTCAACGCTAATCGGGATCGTACTCCAAAGCCGCGGCTGTAACAGTCTTCGACGGGATGCGACACGTAGCGGGAAACGGAGCGCACGTGTTCAAGATCAGTTTTGCACCATTCGGTTTTTGAAACAATGCATGATTTTTTTTCGGCAATCTACAGTCGAGTAGAAGTATTCTGCAAAGAAGACATACACATCACTAGGTGAGACCTCGTCGGGACGTCGAGACTTCCTCCTTTGGACTAATCACTTCTAATTCTCTCCACTTCTCCCATATATCGTTTCATCATTACTGGCGAAAATCTTCATCTCTCCGTAAATAAACGTAGGTCTATAAACACAGTGACTAACTAATGTACTTCTTATTTTACTGAATAATGCCCTAGAGATTCAGTCAGGGCTGTTGTTTTTGTGAACGAACGGAGTCACTATTATCTCGGCACCGTGTTGTCAATGCGGCATCGACGATATAATGACCTCGTTTCGTCCACATAATATATAATTCCGCATAATAAATCTAAAGGAAAAAAGTATCTCACATTTATTATATACTTACAAATAATAATAAAACTAATGAAAATAACAACGATGTTAATACGGCGATTAATACAATGTCGATTGACAATTATCGGTGCACTAATTAGAGAAGCGTATAACGTTAAAAAATACAGTGCGATGTAATGCCGTAATCCAAAGCGGTGCAAAACTTTCTTATGTGCGGTTATAAGCCTCGGCGGATGCCCGGCCAATATGGCTCTTGGGCGGGCATGATCGCCCCGACTTGAGAGGGTAGTAGGGAAAAAAAGGTTTATAGTCGACAGGGTTATAACTGACGTTATTTTTTCTTCTTTCGCAAGCTTGCTAGTTTCTTCGTCTCGAAGACAAAGTCATTTAAATCGTTCAATCGAGTTAACAAGGCCCGAGCTGCTACCTATGGCTGCGGTGGCAACTCAGATGCGATGTGTATAAAATATATATATTTTACTTTTAAATATGTATATACATACATATGTGAGTTTATAGATACGTATACATCTCTGTATCTAAACAACGATCGCTAAATAAACTATATATGTATATATATATGTATGTGTCGCGCGTGCGACGACGCGAGCCTGCGTGCCAGGGATGATGAGTTAAGAGATGAGGGATGGAAAACGCAGGTCGCGGCGATCGCCTCGCGATTCTAACGATTTTCTATCACGACGATTTCGAGATGCTTAATTTCTATGCCCGGCCATTTTTCATTGGCCAGTTCACGGGGCTACAATGCGATACACGTAATTATTGTACCTACAAGTATGGTATATCGGAATTTTCCGCCAGATTCCGATGACTTCTTCGTCTCCCGACGAAACGAAATCGTAGCGCAGCGAAGGTAGGCGATGTAGGTATCCTTGGATATTCATAGGATACGCAAATTTGTGCTACTGTTTTGTGCCTGTTGGGATTCATTGCTACACAAAAAAAAGTTTTTTATCATGAAGCAAATTGATTTAATTGATGCGCTAATTTAATAACAAACTTAGAAAAAATTCGGTACACTAAGAAAAATTGATGAACTAACTTGCTAAAATTAGTTCACTAAATTAAATTAGTTTAGTAAATAGTAGACTGGAAAAAAATCGCGAATGTATGATTAATCTTTTAGCTATAGATGAGCTGGGCACGGAGCTGTATTGCAAAATTTGACTAAAAAGCAAAAATTTTTTCGATAAAACAAATACAAATCAAAATAAATTAGAGTGTTCCTACTGAGTAGTGACAAGGTATCGAGGCATAGAAAAAAGTAACTGTAGTAGCGTTTGTCACAGAAGATTTAGAAGAAAAACATTATAGTGACGTATAAAAGTAACCAAAGGATTAAAGTACATACAAATATCTTGAAAAATAAGGATATTATTGAAAAAATTTTCTAAATTGAAGACAAACAAGCAAACAAAATTCTGATCATATCAAATAGAATTCTGATTATCTCATAGAATTATAATAGATTCAACCAGAAAATTTTTGTCCATTTTCAAGAATTAACATTTTTCAGAATTCCAATTAATGTGCAACCAGATTCTTTTTTCAATACACAATTAAAATAATCTTTTTTAATTATTTAAAATATTTAAATTAATTCAAATGTTAAAGCAATTTAAAAGAAATATTTAAAAAAAATAGTCGTTCATAAAGTTACTTGCAAATACTTATCTCTGGATTTACGTATCTATAAGAACATCCGTCAGATACCTACACTATATCGATCAATTCTACTGACCCTAACTAATACTAGATAAATGACGAACGATCCTATCGCAATGAAGGCGTTGCATCGAAGGGGAAATCACGCGCTGTGCGATATTATGAGAATTAGGAAACGATTTATCGTCCCTGTTACCGCACGATAATGTATAAGTGGAAGTAGATAGACAAATAGAGTTACGAACCGGCACACGTTAGTTAGAATTTGAATACTCGTTTAGTATTATGATTTTAAACTACTGAAGATTGCAACTGATTCATGTTGCTGATGCTCGACTATGATGAGATCCACACGACACGTTTATCCGCGAATCGACCCGTATTCATGGCACATATTTAACCCTTTGCGATCATTCTATATCGGATTGGACTCAATCTAATACGTTGCGGATTTATTATATAATTGTTCAAGTGTTATTATAATCGGAAATCCATATTTTTGAGATCTCTATAAATTCTTCTAATAAAAACCTTTAATTCATATTAGATTGATTAAAAATAAAATTGAAAATAAAATATTCTATAGATTTTAGCGAGAAATGATTTATGGACCGCAAAGGATTAATCTTTTGCGATTTCTATAAACAGAAGCTCTTATTTAAAAAATCATTTGGCACGATATCCTTCATATATTTTAAATACTGAAGTGATAAACACTAATAGTAAATTAGCACCCATATAGTCGGAGGACAGACGTTTTTAAAATTTTTGTTAATAACAGAAATTAAACGTTACATCAAATAATACTGATAACAGTTGAATCCAAATTAATCGAAATAAAAATAAAATATGTAACACTATAGGTTATCGGAATTATTTTGAACTGCAAAGATAGTTAAGCACGTATAAAGTAACCGTTATAGTTTAACTCTCATCAAATGCAATTTCTACATTCGATATTTAAAACTGAAAATCACGTAATATCTAATATTGTGTATACAAAAAAAAGATATGAAAATACTATAAACTGATGTTTATTACGCAATCGATAAATATATGTACGTTCACTTGGTAATATAGTAAAATCCGTTTTCAATACAAAATCTATGATAAAATCCGTAATAAAATCTTGTAATATTCGACGAATAAACAAGCCGTGCGGAGCCGTTTAACATGTAAAATAATATATTATTAAGATGAATGAAACTCGTGGTTCAATTTTCTAGAGAATTTTCATTTCAAAAGTCGCGTATCATACATTCACGGATCTTTAATAGATACATATATAAGGAAATAATCGATGACTAGAAGATTACAGCGTGAACCCAGTGATCGAAAATTGTATCTATATAAAAAACGCATTATTTCATGCTATGATGGTGTTCGACACAGGATTGAGCAGGCTATCGATGAAGCGTATTCATACCGGTAATAAGACCTAATAAACTGCTTAACCGACGATTATAATTTGCGTATAGTCCACACAGCATTTATCATCCAGGCTTACGAAAGCCCGGAGGACTGGTCAAACCGAAATATAATTTATCTAATCCATTTTCTAAGACACTGACGCCGATTAACTGTAATTAACTCAATTCCCTTTCACTTTCCTATTTTATAGACAATAACGTGATCCATCAAGAGAATCGTCAATCACAATCAATTAATCGGAATCGCGTAATCATTTCCTACAAGATATCTTAACATTATAATCTCTGTTTTATAACATCTTTATATATGAAGTAAACATTTTACGATTGCTCGCATAACATAACTCGCATCGGATTGAAATAAACGATATTAAACAACAAAGTTCATTTCGGATGCGATATCGCGAAACGACTTGGGGAATCTTTTACGCAAGAAGGAGTTTTATTGAAGATAACGGTTCTCAGTTAGTTACCTCAAAGCGGATCCATTAGTTGGCACACTCCAGGGAAATACCGAGTCGATTCATTACGAAGGTCGAGACTACGCTAAATTAAACATTTTGCGCGTAAATGATTCTCCTAGGTTTAAAGCTGTCCAAAGTAGGTAAGATCTGATAGGATCGTAGTAATTCATATTTGTGACAATAGCTCGTTTGTGATAAACATTGTCTGTTAGAAGAAGCGTGAACATCAAATGCTTATTCGCTATGGCGTTTCACCAATCTCATGCGATTCGTCGTGTGCTCCAATGACGCGCGTTATTATATTTACAGGATAGGGATTATCGTTAAGAGGTTCGGTTAAACCCATCCGAGGGAAAGCATAGCTGACGACGTTACGTCGATGTTATCACGACGACATCTTTTCTCTTCTTTAGACTTTTTATCATCTGTATTCTTGTAACAGAAGGAACAAAGTGCAATCCGATGCGCGAACGTTGAGTCGCGGATTCTCGACCGCGATTCAAGGAAGAAAACTACGTCGTCAATCACGCCGATACCCTCAATATTCAAATGCGCTCGAGTGTCGTATATTGCTCCATTGATAAGAGATTAATCCTTGTTTTGTTTAATCAGTGGATTGTTACTTGTCGTTGTGGGACCTTGCTCGGCGATCGTGCTCTAGCAGAGGTATACTTGGAACCGGGCACCGTGCAAAATCACAACCGCACTGTCCTAGACTGGCTCGGGGGGCGGATCGTTCCCCTTGACACTCTCTCTAGATTGAATCATTACCTCCGTCTGTTCCTTAGTTAATTCGTGATCCTTGGTAATTTCGAAGTCTTGCTCGGCCAGGAAACTTCGACGAATCGCACCGTTCGCCACTGAGGACAGATCGTTCCTCTGATGCTGCGTGTCCCGCCAAGGTGTCGTTAGGATCTTCAACCTCTGCGTTGAAATTTGATGCATATACCACGTTATTTTTCTCAGAAAGCCAAATATTACAAATATAATTTAAAGATTTCAATAAAATTAATTTATCAATCAAATCGTATTTAATTATCTTTTTAATAAAATTATCTGTTAAACTCAAGTGTATAAATGTGTCCTTTAGTTACATTCGTAAATTATATTTGTATCAAAAAGAACAAAGTATCTTTTTTTGTCGAATAATATTTTTCTAATAATAAATATATAGAATTTTAATTTTGTATATTTAAAAAACTTTTTTAAATTAGATAAATTTAAATATAATAATCATATTGTAACATTTAAATAAAATACTTACTTGAACAAAAGATCCGGATGTGCTGCTAATTTTGTAGATGGCCATACCTGGGATCATGATAATAGAAGAGCATGCGATCAACCAGCCTAATATATTTGCCCAAACTGGATAAGTGTAGTCCTCGTACGATAATGGTTCGTAGCCCATTAGACCATAGACGATAATAAACTATAAACAAATAAAAGACAAATGTACATGTAATAAATACGATGAGACTTTTATTAGCAGGATGTTAAAATAATTCAGTGTTTGTTCATCACGCAAGAAAATCCAAATTTGATTTTTAAAATTTAATTTTAACTGAGAAAATATTTTATTGTTAAAATAAAAACAAAATACAACAAATAAAAGTTTTAAAAATAAAGTTTAGTTTTAAGAATAAAGACAAGAAACTTGATTGTTATGTACAGTAATTTCTTCCTATAAAAACTAAAAAATTAAATACAATAAAATAAAATAAAAACTAAAACAGAAGACAGCCGAGAACAATTGTTCTCCAAATAAATTTATTATAATTATAAATATTATTATCATTAAATTTATTATAATTATAAATATTATTATCATTAAATTTATTATAATTATTATAAATATTATTATTGCTTTCGTTATATAAAAATTGGAAAAAATATATTTTTTAAATATGTTTAACAAAAATTGTTAGAAGTGTAAGTTCTTTTTTAAATGATACTGTTACTTAATGATCAATCTTATATTATTTTCGGCTATATTGTGACATACCATAAGAAAAAGTGGTGCTACAAATTTCCAGCATACTCGCCAGTAGATACCAGGTTTGAAGCCGATCATATCTTTGATATCGGCGCAAAATCGATCCGTTCCATAGATCCAACTGACCGCGATTGTTTCTGCCAGAACGGCGAACAGCATTGAATACCCAGCCGCATATCGATCCAACAAATGGAAAAAGTAAAACCCACCCTATATTAAAAAACAATAATCTTCAGTTTATAATGTGAGGCACACGAATTAGGAATTAAATATTGTTTTGCATAAATCTAACACGATTTATAACAATACAAGAGTGTAAAATGATCTTAATAATTCAAGACTTAAGGAAATATCAAAAAATCTAAGAGAAATCTTAAAAATTAATACTTATTAAAAGTTCTTTTAAGATATACACTTTTTACACTTGTTTTTATGTTGTCTGAAAGTTTCTGTTGGATTGGAAATAAATCGGATTAGTATTTAACGTATCAACAATTTTAGCAATTAGAATATCTACCTGTGAGCAAGAAGCGAGCCCAACCAGAAAATATAAAGTGAATAAGCACGCCACAAAGACCTCACGATTATTGCCGATTATTGGAAACTCGTCGCTGAGTGCCGTTATAATTGCTTCTGAACCTCCGAACTATAAAATCACATTAATTTGGATCTTAATTATTCGTGAGCGAGAAGATCCATCGCTTAATGGAAAGATATTTTCAACATATTATATTTAATATCAAATGATAGCTTTATACGAAAACAAAATGAAAAAAATATCAATAAAAAATGCGAAAAAATATTATTATTGTTAAAGTAATTCATATAGGAGAGAGAGATAAAAACGCACCGAGCTGTCTAAACCGAGCGTGAGCAGCATCATGAAGAAAATGAGGGCCCAGAATGTCGAACCGGGCATCGTAGCGATGGCCGCCGGATAGACGATGAAAACCAGACCGGGTCCTTCCGTGGCGACATCCTGGATAGACTTGCCGCTGGCACGTGCCATATAACCGAGCACCGAGAATATGACAAATCCGGCGACGAAAGATGTTGCACTGTTGATCAAACTTGTCAGCAGGGCGTCTCTGCGGAGAATACGAGTGTCAGACGGGATCGTATGGGTGAGCGCAAAAAAATCCGGCCTTCTTACTTGTAAACGTTGTTGTGATACTTGTTGTAGCTCGCGTAGGCCAATAACACACCGAATCCTGGTCCTAGAGAGAAGAATACTTGCGTCGCCGCGTCCACCCACACCTAGAAAAAAGCGGAAAGAATATCCTCATAAAAGCGATAAAATATAGTCTTACACTTTCATAATAAGAAATATATAATAGATAAGTTTTGTAAAAAACAGAAATTACAAATTGTTTTACTCTTTTATATCTTCAATTTATTTCTGTTATAACCTAGGTTTAAAATTTTGTAAAAAATAAGAAATATAAATTATTTACACACAATAAGAAAAGAAAGAAAACCTTTAATGGTCAAACTGGATCTTATTTAATGCTACCAGTGAATTTTAAGAATCCACATATGTGTATATACAGTCACGTAGTTTAAAAGCTTCAGTTTCTTATTATTTGAATTGTGTCTATAAAAGCTATTAATAATTTTCATAAATTAATTTCGTTATGGCAAGTATATTAATCACATATTTATTATAATGAGCGATACATGTACATGTAAAAAAAAACATTGTGTAAGTACACAACTGCAAAAAAAATCTAATTCCCCGAAGAAGGGAGAGTAAAGGAAAAAGGGGAGCACCAGCCAATACATCAGCCTGATTCTTCTCGTATATCCACGGATTAGCGGTGATCAACAAATCCACTTTCTCATTGATATAAAACCCACTTTAGCAACGATGGTATAAGCGGCTAAAGTCGCCGTCGTCGTCGCCCGTGGAATGCATTCCGCGCGCGAAGCACGAGGGTCGGCGTGCGTTCTAACGTTCTAGCGTGTGCCCTACCGAGCTCTAATGTTCATTATGACAGCTACACAGAGTTTCCATTTTCACCGTCGTCAGTTAACCCTGCACGTTCCTCTTACTCCATTTTTCCCCATACCTCGGCCGCCCCGGCCGCCATACCCGATCTCTTCCCCGCTCGCTTCCGCTCTCGAACCCGCTCGCGATCCTATAAATGCATTAGCTCCCAAAGTTTTCTCCTTTTGTCACTGCCGCGGGAATGCGTCGCGGTTCGTGGTAATCCAGGTCAACGGCAATAAAACAATAATCACGAGCGCGACCGATACTTTCCTTTTATATAGTTTTATTAAAAAATAAATTCCATATTGTGAACGAACAATTTTTCAATGCTTCGTAGAAGAGTAATGTTTCCTTTATTACAACATACGCTTAAATAATTAATATTTTGTATAGTTTATTTTCTATCCTTAATCACACGAGATTTAGTTATATAATAAAATGGAATTATAAATTACTTTTAATCATTATTAAGTAGCAACTACCATATTAATTTTCTTGATTAATTGTGACTATTAACTTTGTTCAAGTTTATTTATTATTAATTTTTTTAATTTTGACAAAATATATTTGTATTATATAAACAGAAATAAAAAAAAAAAGTTATGTTCTTGTCACTGCACTGGAATTGCACTAAAACTTTCTTAATCAATTTCACCAAATTTCAGTTATATACTATTTCATTTTAAGTGTAACTAGTGTATATTAGTTCAGCTACAAAGAACAGACTATAATAAATTGGATAAAAATTCGCTTCTTAAAAATCATGCTAAATATTTCAAATATTGCGTACACATCATGCGATACCAAAACATACCTCTGCCTTTGTGATAACATTGAAATTTGGACTGAGATAATAACGAATTCCCTCCATACTGCCCGGCAAAGTGACACCTCTTATTAACAAAATTAGCAGAACTGCATAAGGGAAAAGAGCGGTAAACCAAACTACCTGTAACACAAAAGAATCGTTCGGTCTGTAACTGCATCCTCATGATCGGAAATACATATACCTTAGATAGCACTTGATACAGCTCTGAGTTTTACGGTGCTTTATTATGGACCTTCGCAAAAATATGCCTTGTCGAGACTCACTTACCCGCCTTTAGGATGTCGAATCTCTGACGAGGCATTCAGCTTACCTTGCCGGAAGTCGAGATGCCCTTCCACAGAGAAAAGTAGCAGACCAGATAGACCACGAGCAAGCATAGCGCGATGTCCCACTTAATGGCACCAAGGTCGTGTAAACCCTCACTTTGGTGTAGCTCCAGAATAGCGCGACTTAAGGAAAAAAAGTGTTGTAATTTATGGAGATATCGAATAAATGACTTACTTAAAAAAAGAAAGGTTTAATATTAATAATACGTTTAATAATTGCAACATAAGACAAAAATCCAAAATATATAAAAAAATATAAACTTAATATTAAAAAAATCCTTTTCATAATATATTATAATCGTTTTTATTACATTACAATTTTATTAAAATAAATTTAAATTAAGAAAATAATGAAATAGTTCAATGTTTAAGATAAATGTCTAATTCTTTAAGTATTATTCAAATGTGAGAATTATCGACTATTTTAAATTATGCACATTTGAACAGTCTTTGCGTTACATATAAATTAATTTTTTGCTAAGAATTCGAATTTTCTACAAACCCTAATCATTTTGCTAATCATTTGGCAAACATTTAGTATTAATACGAAACGTCAAAGATGAATTTTGTTTTCATAGACGAAATGTCACTCACTTGAAGTATTCATGAGCAGCACTCGTATAATTATCCATTGTACTCTGAACAGCAGCATCCGATCCTAAATCGACCAGCAGCCGAGTGGTATTTCCAAAATTCTCATTAATCTCGCTGTTCGTATCCGCGAGTGCGTACGAGATATTCGCGTCGAATTCGCGACAAAGTGGTGTGTTCCAATCATTGTCACAGGAGGTCCACGGCAGCATCGTGGCGAACGAGGCGAAGAAATAGCGAAGCGACCAGGCGATGATGACGTTATAGTAAAAATCAACGTAAAACGCGATTAGGACCACCGCGTATCCGATACCTGATCAAGAACAATACATTTTTTTTTCAGTTTTCAGACCGAACAATCCATCGCACGGTGATAAGAGCCATTTTTTTGAAAAAAATTTAGTTTCTATTTTTATATTTCCAGTGTGTGGTCTAATAATTAATGTAAAGATTTTTAATGATTGTACTAAAACAATTTAAATTTAAATAAGAAACTTATTGTATTAATCCATGAGATTATTGCTAATCTTGTTTCTATACTTAAAAGGTAATTATGAATATCATGATTCAATGTATAACAAAGGACATTTACATTTTTATTGTAAAAATTTTACTATCCGAAGATTCTTTATTCTTTTTAAACTATTTGTTGCCTCCTTACAATCATATGTGGATTTCAGTGTGATGTGATCGCTGTAATCTGTGAAGTACAAGATTACTAAACAAATTAGCACGATAATTGCGTAGACGCGAAAGAAATCGAGACCAGCGCGGCAGAAATATTAAAAACACACCGTCCTTCCTATGAAGATATTATTTCTTACGCATACATACATTGTATACAAATGACATCGTGACCTTCTTTACTATGGTAAGATCGCGCATACTACAATACGTATGTACGTATATGTTAGATGCGTTTATCGCACGACGCAGAAATACGACGATGGAGGATCTCGATCGATCATATGGCGATCAACGGTCGGATGGACGGACGGGGCGAAAGTGTGGTTGTGGAAATGAAGTTGGAAATCGGCGGAAATGGAGGCTCTTTACGCGAAGAAGTACCGGTCGCGTTTCTCGCATCCTACGATTCTCTCGGATTTATACGTGTCGCATAAAGTACCCAACCGCGGCTTTGTATTACGAGAGAGATCTGTGAGACAAGGAATATATATATATATATACATACACAATATATTACATATATATATATGTATATGTTATATGTATAATGTATGAGATTATAAACATATCGCTCCCTTATTTCAAAAAAGTTAAGTTTTCCAAAAAAGGGAAAAAACTATTTCAACTTGATAGAAAATGATTGACAAATCAAATAATATCGACAAAAAGAATATATTAACATGATCAAATGTCGTTTTTGTTATTGTCATATTTCACAGTTCTTAAAAAAATCAATCGTTTCGAGTTATGATGATTTTGACGATTTTTTTTTTAAACCACCCTTTTTTTTTAAAAAAAAGCACTATGATAATTTTGACAATTTAGTTCAATTTTTATTCTTGATAGAGTATTTATTCTTGATAGAGTATTTATTCTTGACAATTTTTTATAAAATTTAGTTCAATTTTTATTCTTGATAAAGTAATGCTTATATATTTATTTCATTCATGATAATAACTAAAAAATTACATTTTTTTTAGTCGTGTCACTTTTTAAGTAACTGTGCGATGTGTTTGTATTGTAGTAGTATATGTATATGTATATACTTTTTAGATATACATATATAAAAATATAGATACATACACGTATATATTTATAATATACATACATGTATGTATATACATTGTATATATTCCGTTCTATCTTCAGCTTCACGTGCGCCAAAATCGGACGATCATCCTTGCGGTTCGAGTAGCTGGAAAAAGGGAAAGATCGCGAAGTTAGAAAGGAGACCGTCTTGGAATACCAATATCCGAGGACTGGTGAGGAGAGAAAGCGAGCTAGAATATAATGAGAGTAAAAAGGGCCATTTCAGCTCTTAAGCTTTTGAAAAGATTTTCCCGAACGATTCGCGCGGATTTCTACTTTCACGGATGAGAATATATACAGGAAATATATATACGTACATACACTTTAAAAAATATCGGTGTGGATTTAACACCATGCAATGTCTAGGTATATAATTCTCAGCGTGTTGGTGTCAATATTAACACTACAGTAAAAGTTATATAGACACCACGTGGTGTCTATAAATTGGTGTTAAATCTACACCAATATTTTTTTGAAGACATATATACATATATATATATTTTAAATATATATATATATGTGTATCTTAATTGTCACAAGATATATGTCTCATGAATCCCGCGGCGCACAATCGACACATGTATAAGTAGATTCAATGATCAGCACCGTTATGCGTTTCCACGACCTTCGTAAGCGATTCGAGAAGCTATAAACTTTTAAGTATATCCATGTACGTTTGACGATGGAAATAATGATCAAAAAATATAGAAATCGAAAAAACGATTTCTATTATCCATCGTTAAGTTAAACAGTTGCATTCTGAGAATTTTAGTCATGGCAATGGAATAACTATTGACTAGAATTGACGCTAAACAGGAATAAAAAGATTAAGTCGAATTGTGTGTATTGATAAATTACTGGCTATACTTATGTCATTATGTCGCCGAACATTATTACATTTCAATTTCATAACATCTAGAAATTGTTCATATATGATTAAATAAATAATGTAACATGATTTTATAATGCATCGTTATAATGCAATATTTTTTCATTATTATACATATATTCAATTTGCATTATATAAACATTTAAAATCATAGTATCTCTGTTATCAGTTTAAAAAATTATGAAAAAATAAAAAATGATGGTAACTTCATTGTGATTGTAACATAATATTTATATATTTACCTTTGAAAAGCGGTACCAGCCGACCCCAACAGGTGATAGCACCCTTCCTGTTGAATTGACCGAGAGCGAGCTCCATGTAAAATAGAGGAATACCACCGACCACTAACATCACACAGTAGGGAACCAGAAATGCACCTGCGAAGAGAAGTGTAAACGAGCCTATTTAGAAGCAGACACGAGCTCATTGTTAGTTTAACACTAAAACCAAAGCAGTTAAAATGACTGATTTGTAACTTTTTAAAACAAATTTATGACAGTGCATTTTTTAAGGTTTTCTATCAGTTTTGTTGCAATATTTAAATGATTAACGTTTAAAGAAAATATTGTAATTTAATACACACTTTGTTTTTTAAAAAAGCTTTTTAACTTCGTGTGCCTGGCTCATTACCCCTTGTTGATTTTGCTTTAAATTTTCATTCTCTGAGCCATTTATAGATACTTATTATTTTAAATGATTAAACTAATCTATTCACTTTGCTCCTTCTGGAAATCGGTCTACATTAAACGTCATTAGTTTTAGCATTAAAATATGAAGCAATTAATCACAAAGTTGAAGATAAATGAATAAAAATATTTGAAGCACTGACTTTTTATAAAACACATGCACGATGTATATTTTTCAATTCGTTTTCCGATACTAAATCAATTGCAACGTTACAAGGAAATGTCCTGAAACTCCGTTTAACCAATTTTGCTGATTTGATATATGTTCATTTCACGTTTTTGTTAGAACGATATTATTACAATAATCAAATGCATCTTTAATTATTATTAGTATATTCGATTAATGTTGACTCTCATAATAATGCGATTCTATCTGATCATAGTTCAACTTCTTGATGTAAGTCATTGTAAGTCGATCAGACGAGATCCGATTACTCTTCCATCCATCGGACGTCTATCTAGAGCAAAAAGTCTTGCGAAAAAAAGCTAAATCTTAAGACAAGGGGCCATTGTGCGATAAAATAGAAGTTATTGTGCGATCTAGGAAGCAGGAATGAGAGAAAGAAGAGGCGCTGTTTCCGGAAAAGTGACCGTACAAGAAGGAAGCAAAGTTAAAAGATGAGCAAATTAGAGGACGAAAGGTGCGCATGTAGCCGTTAAGAAACTGTTAAAGAATCGTCAAAGTTTACTTTAAGATACGCGCGCTTTCTTCAATTCGATAAAGATTTACGAACTCCATTGAAGAATTATGATACGAAATTTGGAAAGTTAATATAATCGAAAATTGTTTACTGCTTATGAAAACTGTAAGTTAATGGCTGTGTTCAATAATATGTATATTTTTTTAATTAAAATGGATTTATAATACTTATACATTTTTTGGCAATATCAGTATTATTATCTTTTATACAAAGGTCATTTTTATACAATGACAAAAATAAAAATTAAATTTTATTTATATTCTCCAAGAAACCACAAAAATAAGAGCCGTATTATATATTCTCCGCCGGTCAATCAATTCTTGTTTTACTGTTGCGTTATCTATGAAACTTTAAGCAATCGGAATTACAAAAACTTTTCAGAAATCATATTTTGGGAAAGTTCCGGTTCACCATTCCTGTCAGCCTGACGATCGACTCAGTCACGTCACCGTGTTAATGTCACCTTGCCGCATTTCCGAAAGTTGACTATCGAATTACGTGCCTAAAAGCACCTCGCTACCGGTGCTCTAAATAACGCACAATGCAGTTATGGAACTAACCCGCTGGTATGAGTGCGTCACATTTTTTCACTGGTTTCTCTCTGAGCGGCGTGTATTATCTTTCTGCCTATGTGTACACTGATTCCTTCATATAATACGGAATAAATTTACACAATATTCAACGTTTTTTTTCCAAAAAACGATTTGTTTAAGCGATATCGCGAATCAATATACTGTGTGAACAAATAATGACATCATGATCATAATTTATATATCATTAAAATTATTATTTCATATTCATACATATACACAATCACAAAATATCATTTTAAATCTATTAATGTGTAATTTGAGAAATTCTTAAAATATATGTAAATACACAGTTTATGTAGATCTATAAAGGAAAATCGATCAAGAAACTTAGAAATATATGTACAGATAAAAAAATAAAGTTTGAAACAATATTTGTTATATATATTAAATAATTAAGTATATGTTATTTATTTTATTTATATATTAAACATGCAGCAAATTATTAATCAATATTTGACTTCTTCTTTATAGATATCAATCTAAGATCTATATTTTTATAGATATTTTTATAGACAATCTATGATCTATATTCTTTTTTATGCAATTTTTTATTCCATGCTGACAAAAAATTTGGTTAAATACACCGTTATTCACTACTGCTCGCATTGCATAAATAAATGGTAATATAGATGCGATCAAAAAGAGAATAGCGAGAGACTATACTTGATCTTCCTTCTTAACTCCAACGGAACTTCCATTCCGTACCCATGGAGATGTAATCGCATTAAGAAGGATATTGTCGTTGAGCAACCTTGATTAATTTCTTCTTGTCCCTGCCTGAGCGCAAATCGTCGATCGATCGTACTAAAAATTATATTTTCACAAAGTAGGCTATTCATCACTGGATGGCTCCATTACGCGAAAAATTAGTTATAAGTTATAATTAAAATCATGATCCAATCTAATGCGCTTTTAATATGCTTAAACAAAATTGAAATCAACATATCTGTAATCTGTCAGATGTATTTTATTCACTTCTTTTTTTAAAAATATGAAGTTCTTAGTAGTATAATTGATAATATTTTTATTTTGCAACAAAGCGAATTCGCAAAACATCAAATATTGGACAAAAATTAATTCCAAAATCTGGAGCAAAGATCTCCCCACTCTTTCTTTCTGTCTCTCTCTTGTCTTGACATGTCGCTAATGTCGAGAGCAAACGTCCGGCTCCAGACAACAGTTCCGCTCAATTTTCTCCCTTTGAACTCGAGCATGCACTCACGCAAAGGCTTAGTGCTTAAAGCTGCATTTTACGCCCGAACAAAGGCGAAAAGTTCGTTCGAATGAAACGTAATGCATTCTCGCGAAATAATCGCGCCAATTGTAGCCCGTCGATCGGAATACGCTTTCACCGAAAGGTGTACGAGGGTCTAGGTCGAGCTGCTGATGTGCTGATGTCGTCCATTAACAAAATTCAACTTGCATTATTTTGAAGATTTTACTTTGAAGAGAAAGAGAATGCATTTCTTAAGTATAACTATTAAAAATATCATAATAGTCTGTGAGTCATATTTCCACTTTATAATTTATATGATCCGAATCATCCTATAAAAATCGACTAATTAGCACTAAAATCTCTGATAACAAATCATGGTTTTAAGAGGCTGCATTCGCTAATTTTATGCAAAGATTATTGTGTAAACTAGAGTTTTTTAATAAACATATGGTATAAATTAAAAAATAATATGGCGTATCCAATCTAATTTGATTGCTAATAGCTTTCATAAAGATGAACACAAAAACATTTCTTTCACTTAAAACGCCACATATTAAAGAATATAATGATACATAGTAAATAATATGTACCTTTATTTATAAAAAAGTTAGAAGAAATGGAAAGAGCATTGGAAAAAAATTGGATATGCCATATCAAAAAGATGTTTAAGGGCTAGATATATGTAATATATTCTGAGTATATGTAAAATAAAGTTTTTTTTTGTGATGTAATATATCTTTAAATTTTAATTCTAAAAACTCTTCGAGATGATGTATTGATGCTGAATCACTTGCTTGCTATACATGACGAATTATTTCCGTTCACCTATTTGAATAACTAAATTGATATTCCGCGCTATGTATACAACAGCAAAAATATCTCACGGCATGTTAGCTGCGTAAAAAATTACACCACGAATCTCTTTCATAATACTATATTAACTTCCTCATAGAGGACATTGCGCAAGGCTATCCAATAATCGTCGATTGAGCAATGTGTATCAATATGGCAAACCGGTCTAAAATTTTGATTAGCATTTACATGAATAATATCAAGATACATTAATCAAAGCCGTGAAAACGTTGCTTTTGTCAATAATAAGGAGTTTTTACGTTTATCAAATGAGAAAACTGTGTATCCGTCAAGATTTTTGTAGGACGGGAATTTCTACGAAGACAAAATTACGAGAAATAACTGGACGATTTCAAGGAAGACGCAAACGTCTGATTGATCAAACATGCGAGACGAGTATCATAATTGTGATAAACATTCAAGGAAATATCTTGCATTTCTCTATAAATGTGAGTAACTATACTGAATTATCAAATTATTTAAAAATGGAAAATCATATAAAATTTGTTTTTAAACATCCTGATCAGATAAAATATTTTTATTTTAATTTGTTAAAAAAATTTTTTATTTATTTTAAATATTTTATATTTTAATTTATTTTTTTAATTATAAAATACTTAAATAAAAAAATATCAATATTATTTTACAAAACATCATATGATGTATTGCAAAAACTTGGAATATAATTTTGTTCGTTCAAAAACATTTCACATGCAATTTGTACAATATCATTATATTTGTACTTATAATCTCTTCTACAACCTTTCATTAATTTTATAAATTTTGATTATTTCAAAATCAATTTAAAAACGCGATTCTTTTACTGTATTATAAATAAAAAAATATAAGCATTTATGCACACATAATTATAAAAATATACATATATGTGTTGAAAATATATATTTAATATCATAAAATTAAGATTTATTTATTCAACCGAGCATATCAAGTTATTTTGTATCAAAATTGAGAAACGGAAGTTTATCAATACGAATTCTCCCAAACGATTCACACAACTTTTATTGTTTCAATCAGAAATTTTTGCGATATCTGCAGCATTATCTCAATTTGCTGCAGTTTATTCAAAATCGCGAGAGGAATCGCGTCGCGTTTACATAAAAGTATCTACGGATAAAAAGTTGTCGAAGTAACAAACACGAACGATAGGCAACCATACGAGCTGCTCCGAATTATAATCATGAAACAACACGTTAATAACGCCTCCCGTAGGGCGATAACGACGCAGCCGTCGTCCGATGGGGTGCAGCGGCGTCGCGCACGTCCATGATCAAAGGCCTGCGTCCCGAATGGGAAATTATAATTAATTAAGGTAATTGGAAATTAGCGACCGATCTTGCCCATCCTAATGGCGCGGAGCCGTGCGCTCTACTCCGCTCTTAATTGAGTTAGCAGCCGCTTTTGAGGAGCCTCTGTATCACTGACAGCGGCCCTAATCGCATTCCTACTGGGGACCCGATAGAACCGGTACTAATGGCGTCGTCGCCGTCGTCGTCGTCGTCGCCGTTGCCGCAGCGAGGCTTAACAAAAGTCAATAAGATTGCAGCCAACCGTTTTCCATGAGATCGATCTCTCCGAGAACGAGAAGCGGGAAATTTCGCATAAAAGTGACATCGGTGATTCTTCATGGAAAACGAGACAACGTAGGTATGCGAGACGGATTGATAATCGCAAATGCTTACGTTAATTCAAAATCAAAACAAAAATATGTGTTCAACGTATCTCATACATAGTATACGGATTTATGTTAATTGAAGAAAATGTACTAAATTTTAATAAATATTTGTTTAAATAATACTAATTAAATATTTATTAAGTGTAAATATATATATATTCATTTTTAATTTCTTTTTTCTCAAAATTGAAATCAATATGTCTAATTACAGGACTATTTAGTATCGAAAATAATGGGATTCTTTACCGAAGTTTTAAATTTAAAAAAATATAAGCTTTATATTATTTTAAACAAATTTTAATTTTTTATCATTAATTCAATTTTAGGTTTAGCTACAAAAATACTTAAAAAACAAACTTACAAAGACTACATTTGATTAATCCGCGAAAGAAAATTAATTTCTGAATGTTCCAGAAAATATCATATTAATATATAGATTGATTTTATTAATATTTTGTTTCTGCGAATCTTGTACTAGATAGCAAAATGACGTCATTTTGACGTCTTTGATAACATTAGCTTGTTATCTGAAATATGTATGAGAAAATCGCGAGAATATTACTTCATAATTTTCGTAGATTTGTTAATAATACATTAGATCGTTTGTTCAAATTTAATCGTTATTTTATTACTTTTGATTCGCATGGCTATTATTATTTCGTCAATATTATCCCAAAACTTATTAGAAAAGTTATAATTTGAGTTTTGAATTATCTAAAATTCTTCGATTTTTATCATAGATGACTTAAACATAACGATTTTCTCGTAATAATAATCTATAATCATTAAATGAGATGTTACATAATATTAGGTATTTAAATGGAAAAATACGAAAATATAATTTCTCAATTATATTTTTAAAATAATTATAATAATATCTCCAGAGATATGTTCAAAATGACTTTCTTATCATTATACAATTATTCTTCTTCTATAATAAGCAAAGGCGTAAATTGATTGCAATACAAGAAAGATAAACTGCTAATTATTACACTACAAGAAATCTGATAATTTATTCTAATTTATTTGCGATATTAACGTTAAGTGATGAATCATTCTTTCTTAATCTTAAAGCGTTATGCAAATGTAATGTTAGTGTATATGAAGAGTCAAGGTGGAATGTTCGTATAACACGTTAACTATTTATAAAATATACATATCGCAAGCGATACAATATATGTGTATTGGATTAAAAAAAATTTGCTACTTTATTTTTATCAAAAGTTTTTAAAAAAAAATTTGGCAATTATATTATTCGATAAAACAAAATTTCAGCTTTAAGAATTTGTTTTCTAATTGTGGTACGCTATGATTTTTAATGATGGAGTTATGAACAATCAAAGTCGAAATGCTTCTTTTATTTAATCTACTAAATTCACAGAATTTTCAGAATTCTTATTAAACACACACACACAAAAGTGAATTATTTTCAGTAAAAGAAATTCGAGCGATGACCGCACAATTTTAATCGTTTTCACACTTGGCTGCTCCCGTTAAAAAATGAAGAAAAGGCTTAATATCGCTATGAGTGCTCCGCGATTTACGAAGCTTCTCGCCCTGTAAATTACTACTCCTCTACAATTATAACTAATTTGGGCACCAGCGGAGGTGCTGTTGTCGTTAGGAATCTTTGTCGAGCGAAGTCTAAATCCCGAGGTCATTTTCTGCGAGGTAAATGCCAATTAGCCAACCGGTTAGCACGGCATTGCTTGCTGGCTGGAGTACATTACTCGACGACGCGTAACACCCAACCCTCATCACGTTAACTTAACAGCGAAATAACGTCCGACGATGTTACGACGCAGTTGACGAAATTTTCCCTCCGCATATGAGTATATCGAAAAAATAAAACGGATTATCCCGTGCCAAGCAAATAGCTACGCAAAAGAATGCGATAAAAAAAATAGAAGAGGACCGAGAACGTCAAGGGTGTCCATGAAATTGAAGGAAGACACAGTAAATTTTATAGTTCAGCCACTTGTACCTTTCCGTTCAATTAATTTTGAATTTAAATCTGGCCGAGAGCGACACTCAACCGTAATGACGAATAATGTTTTCCGTGATGTGTAAATAAGTGATTCATAATGAAATGTTTTCCACATTGACGCAAGTATGAGACCTGTAACTCTGGAGATCTGATGGAAGAATAATAATTACACCCCAGAGCGTAATGTTTTAATAAATATTCTTGATGCAAATTTATAATATCAGTTTCCTTAATCAACTGATTAGAATCGACCAATTTTTCATATCTCGGTTTCAGAGAAGGAGAATCATTCCGTAAACCGAGACAAACGCGATCGGACACAGGTGGAACCAGTCATAATTCTGACCGGTGATTTCCAATCTCGTGTATTCTTGAAGTGCAAAAAACGATGCGTGAAATAATGCCAGTTTCCGCGATCAGTGATGCGAAAAATTACGAAGCTCGAAGGTGGAAGGCGTCGGGAAACGTTTGCTTAGATGAAATCGCGGTTCTCGTTACTCGTTACAAATACGAGCGAATATTGGAATGGGGCAATGGGTGAAAGAGTGGATTATTGAAATTGTATTCCTGCCATTGCATACGTCAATGACAGGGAGGAGCACTCAACTTGTGCGAAATAATCGAAAATAAACTGCGCGGAAATCGCGTCATACGTTACGAATTGCGCTCGCTCGTTCTCTCAGACAGATATATGTACTTACCACCACCGTTCTTGTAGCAAAGGTACGGGAATCGCCACACATTAGCGAGATCGACGGCGAACCCGATGACTGATAATAAGAAATCGAGCTTTCCCGACCAAGTCTCCCTGCCGTCACCGGCATTGACGCCTTTCGCAGCATTTTTTACCACCGTCGACGACATCCTTCCGGTACCTGCAAAGCAAAAACAATAAATATGCTATCTCTGACTCGTAATTACGTTCTACAATGTTAACATGGGAAATATGGTTGCATAAACTGGAAACATGGATTCAAACACCAAATTTCAAATTTAATCACAGAAAAAAAGATAATAAATCTGATACTTATAATTAAATCTATTAAACATTCTAATCGAGACTAGAAATTCAATTACAATAACCAGAATTCTGATTAGCATTTTGTTAGTATAATCATAATGTAAGAGTAATAATTAAAATGCAATAAAAATATCAGGTGTTCCTATAAATATAACGTAATCATTTAAACTTTTGCGATTAATCAGACCTTAAATCTTAAAAACCAATGTAAAACCGTCATTAGAAATTTCCCATTGAGGAGCAAATTAAGCTCAAATGAATTCAGTCGCTATTATATGCGCAATATTATATTTTGTCTTCTTACACTGAAAAAAAATACAGTTAATTTTAATAAATATTTAGTTCAATACTGCCAACTAAACATTTACTTACAGTAAATAAATATTTGTTCAGTAAAAAAAATGATTGTTAAATCAAATTAACATTTCTTGTATCAGATAATTATATCTTTATATTTAATAAATAGTTAGTTGGCAGTATTCAACTAAATATTTATTAAAATTGACTATATTTTTTTTCAGTGTACATCATGGGCATAATCAAAATCATTTTTCTTATTAAAGTTCCTTAGATAATTTATTAATATGTACCAAAAGTTATTAATAATTTATTGTCCAGTTGAGATAATTATTGAAATATAATATTGTTAAAGAAATATTTCGCATTCTGCAACATAGCTGGATTGTATTTTGTCATCAATAATTCGTGGTTCTAAAAAGTATCAACTTATATTATTATTACTTTCTATTTGATTTGAGATTCCTAATTCTTTTACTTTTTTATTGTTACCATATCGAGTTACAATTCGCAATTTTCCCTTAATCTCAAAATTATTAACTTTACGATACTCATTAATAAATTAAAAAAAGATAATTGGAAATTTTTTATCCTAAGCCGAAAAAAACAATTATATTAATGTCAGAAAAAAGGTAGTACTTATATTTTGTTTAAGCGCAGAATTAAAAACACACGAATAAACAACGATGAATATATATTTCTCTGGGAAATTCAGGATTTAAAGCGAGCTTTTCTTAAAAGCAAAAGTCTTATTCGTGCAAATCAACATAATTACGTAATCTTAGAGATACACGACTTATGAACGAGTGCATAAATCTGCATGCCTACTGCGCTCGGGATTAGGCGCAAGGTCGCGAATGTACGAAGAGCGAAAGGAACCGAGCGAAAGGAAAGTGCAGTACGAATAATAGGAAGGCAAAGAGGAGGGATAATGGAGAACGAGTGATGCAAATAGGGATGGTAATAAATATGGAAACAAAATCGACAATTCGACATACGTGTGTACGCGACCAAGTATATGGTTATTATATTATTTATTTGCGTGTTGGCATAAAATATATACGTGTACCTTTGAAAAAGTTTACCTTAAAAATATCAAAAAGAAATTTAAAACTTACAGTCTGAGCACACAAATTGTAATATCTACTTAAACTTAAGTTATAGATGTAAGCAACGCACAAGTTTTGGTATATGATATGCGACTTATTGCTGTGTTTCTTGTAATTCGCACGTCAAACTTGCGCCAAAAGTATGTGTTTTACTTATGTCTACAACTTAAGTCTCAGGCTAATTCACAATGTAATTCTACAATGTGCTTTTTGTTTCCTGTTTCTTGCTGTTTGTCTCTGTTTGTCTCTTGCCTTTTTGATCAAGAAGGCAAGAGACAGGAAACAAAAAGCACATTGTAGAATTAGCCTAAGTAAGTGTCGAAATATTTCTTGTATTCACATCCTTATCACATAGAAAACAACTTAAGAAAAAACATAAAAGATATGAGAGGTAAATTTAGACATAGAAACTAATTTTTATTGACAGTAATATCAAAACTTATTTAAGAAAAAATAAAAAAAAGAAACTAAAGAAACTTAAAAATTGTAAAGAATAAACGTCAATAATTTTAAAGTTTTTAATAAATTGTTTTAATATTATTGTTTAAAATTTCTTTTTAAATAAATTGTAAAATCATAAATTTGTTTAAATTCAAGGCAAGATCCCTTTATGTGTAAAGAAGTTTGCCATTAAAAAATTATTTCATTAAAACACGAATGAAAAGTTACATAAAGTTGTGCCTTTTATTCTATCTTTTATTCTACGGGTTTTATTTATGAGAAAACGCAGCACCATCGCATCCATCTAGTGACGATGTCGCGTACTGTTCACTTAAACTTTATATCAATTTACTCTTACTTTAAAACTTTATTTTAAGAGCGCTTCAAAAATTCTTGATACAATGGAAACAACAAAACCTTCAGTTTTTCTAAGATTATTTTAAAGTCAGCCTTAAAATACTTTAAAATTCTCAAATTATTTTGGATTAACCTTTTACACTTTAAATAACCTGAAATTTTTTTAAGTAAACTCTTAATTACCTTTAAAAACCTTAACGTCATTTAAAGTAAATTTTCCGAAGGGTACGTGGGAGAGAGAAAGAGATGATGGGGATGAGGGGGAGAGAGAGGAGCGCGTCGCGTGCGCGACGGGGCGCGGCGCGGGCGCGTGTAATTTGGCGACGACAAGTTATCGATAGCCCTTCAAGCGACAACGCTCGACACCCCCAACGAGCCTCATTGTACCCCGTGACGGGTACCGGTCAAACAGCGTATATTTCAAAGGCGATCGCGGGCGATCCGGCCTCGAGGGGCCACTCGACGAGGGGTTTTCTGTCACGCGCACTGATCCACGCTTATCCACGCAGACCGACCCAGTTAATTGATATTCGGCGGTCGCGGAGACACCTACGGATGCGCGAAGATGGACGGCGACGAAAAATCACCCCCTCGCCTCGCCACTGTCCGTCGCGAGATCGCTCGCACGCGTTTCCGTCGCGGTATCAGAAACCGGTTTGCCTGAGAAAAAAACCTAATCGGCATATTGATGAAAATAATAATTGAATAATGAATTTAAAATCCGATAGTAAAATTAGATCAGCACAACATTTAACTATAATCATCAGTTAAATAAAACAACCGCGTAAATTAAATGCATTCTATAAACATAAACCGATTGAAATATACATATCCGCGTAAGAGCGAATATGATTTTATACGAATATTTCGATGTTGTTTGCTAACATTTTTAGTCTTTACTTCATTTTTAGTAAATTTTTTTTAATTTGCAGATTTTGTTTGTGGATTCTTGAATAGTACGTGTTTGTTAAATAATGTCGAGAACAGTTTTCGAGTAAAATTACTCGAAAAGAATGGTTTTGCTGAAATATTTAAAATTTTAGCTAGATACAAATCTGAAAATAATTGTAGGCTCCAATTGGAGATTATACGTATAGGTTGACGTGACGAGTCAACGAGCGATCTGTTTGGAGTTTTCATGCGTAAGGTCGGTTAGGACAGCTGATTGGAGAGCGAAGAGCGAAGAGTCAGTCGGTATAAAAGCGACATTGCAAATAGATGTGAAATCGAAGTCAGCGAGAAAAGAATTATTGTAAAGAATGTGAGCAAAGAAATTGTTAAATATAATGCTTTCTGTAAAAAACAAATAATAACTTATTTTAAATAAATTGAGACTATTCCTTGCATGATCTTGGGCCTTTGATATTGAGCCTACATAATTTTGTTCTCATCAAAATAATTATATAGGATACTCAAACTGATTATAAAAATGTCAAAATTTTTGACAGTATTTCTCATGTTTGAAATTCGTACAAAATTTTGATGACTCAACAAAATTATTTTCAGATTTGTATTTAGCTAAATTTTTAGATATACTTGAATAAAATTGTTTTTTCTATGTGTTGTAATAAGTAAATTATTTAATTGGTTAATTGCTTTAGAGGAAACAGCTTTCGGAAAATGTTATTATTAAAAATATTATATTTTTAAACAGATTATTTAATCAAATTTAGTTACTCAATTTATTAACGTATCCATCTTATTTATCTATCGTATCAATTATAGTATTTCTCTTATAATAAAATGCTAAACATATAAAAATTACTAAATAAGGATGAGAAAATTTGGCGGAAAAGAATAGTCAACTTAAAATATTATCTAAAAAAAGAAAAAGAATATGTAAAAATAGAAATTTTTTTTCTTTTCCGTCCGTTTATCTTCGAAATGCGAACAATGACATTTTACTCGATGCATCATTAAGTCTTAACAAGTATTCCAAAACTTGTTTTAACGATGAATAATTAAAAGAAGGTATAAGGATAATAGTTAAAAGAAGATATAAAGAAAGGAGTGATGTAAAAACGATATTCTCAAGAAATCGAATTTACGTTGACATATTCCTAGAGAGGAACCCTCGCGCCTTTATTTAATCAGGGGCCGGTCTTTTTCCGTTAGGAAAATCTCTCGAATCCAAGGAAGTATGAATTAATAAGCGTAACCGCGATCGGATTGCAAAGATAGTGAACCACAAATGGTAATATATGCACACGCACACGAGGACAAATAGGACAACCGCAATGACGTGGAATCAGTCGCTGTTGAGACTTTACATTTTTTTTCGATGGATTTTTTCTATCGCATTTTTAAATTAGCCACACCTTCATTCTTGCATCAACGCGAAACAGGTCTCATTTTCTTCTTTAACTGATATAACGCGATCGTTCTTAAAACACAGACTTTTTATTACAAAAGATTTTTATTCCATCACAATTTTTAAGAACTGTAAGCGAGAATTTAAGTTATAATTTGAAAAATTTGATATAATATCAGATTTCTATTTCTATTACTTCAGACTTCTATTTTAATCTATATCTTCTATTACATACTCCTTTTCTTTTCTAGATAATATTTTAAGTTGACTATTCTTTCTCGCCAAATTTTCTCACCTTTCGTTTCGTTAAAAATTTAAATTTTAGCAACGCCCACAAATTTTTTAAGATTAACTTATAATTTTATCTTCAATAGCTATTTATTATTAAATATCCTTTGCCGATAACTACACTGAAAAAAAAGATTAGTTGCTGCAGCAAATTATATGATTAAACATGGCATAGCATTTTTAATTGGTTGCAACAACCAATTTTTGGTTGCTGATAAAAGAATATAAAATTAAATAATCATTATTCAATTCTGTGCGATATATTATTCACCTTTTAAAAAAACAGAGATTTTGAAATAATATTTGTATGAAACGCATCTATCTGAGATAACATAATTTAAAGATGAATAGATACATAGTATTTAATTATTCGCGATTTGAAAAACGCATATATACGTGAATACATACAGACAAATTCCAAGTTCCAATTGTTGACACAAAATCTATTATGCATGAAACGCACAGAGAGTTATTCCTGCGTCGCAATAATTTCTATAAATATTCGAAAAACTGTTATTATAAAAAATATTTATATATCCCTCTATAAACAGATATTATAATATTCCTTTAAACCAATCAGATGTACGTCTAAATAAATTGATGAAAAACTTAAAAAGACCTTACGCGTAATCGAAGTAAATCGTGAAATGACCTTATCGGCCTTCACAAATGCAATCTTCGTTAATTCTTTTGTTATAAGATATCTCGTAGTCATGTCTCTTTCTGCGTATTATTTACGGAATACATTTTACAGAAAGCATCTTGGTTTTATTTTAAAAAAGTAGGAATGATAATTTCTCTTTATACTATTTGTTGCAACATGTTCTGCGCATCAAAGGAAAATTTCGCAACAAGAAAGAAGAACATTTATTTTTTATGCTATCCGTCAAACTTCTCATATATACAATTTTTGTTAGAAAAACTTATGGACCGTAAAAAAAATGTCTGTCAAATCGTATACGAATCAAGAAACATGACAATATCTTTGTGTCGTCGTCTCAAAATAAAACACGAATTCTGCACGATAGGGATTCCCTGCATCTAAATTCACTATGTGAAAAAAAGAGAAAGAAGAAACCTACCGCAACGACCTTCCCTCGTCTTGAGTATGCAAAGGTCTTCCACTCTTTTCTTCGGCAAATTCCTCCGTCGAGGGAAAACCCGAAGTGCCGCGATTTGGGCGGACGGTTAATCGGGCACGATTCACGATGGTGAACTAACTGCTTGCGAGTAGCGTTCTGATCTCAAATATTCAAATGATAGCTACATGATAAGGTAGCCGACCAATATATAGGAATAGTGGGAGAGAAGATCTGTCGAATTCGAAGAAACTAACGACTTCGGATGGGAACTTTCCTGCGGCGGAGTTTCCCGAGAATTACGAACGTGAAACTAATTAGATTTTCCTTTAACCGGCAATTGAATCTTTGAGACAACACTCAATCAACTCGGACATCAATGTGTCGTGAATGACAATTAAATGATCGTTTCATTCCCGAGGAATCTTCATAATCGTTGATATCCTTTAATGGACATGCGTTTCGAGGGAGTACAGAAAATATTCCGAAAGATCTAAAGATAATAGCCGTTATCACAATGATATGAGTGTAGGACAAAGAATAATTAACATTTTAAATTACTCTAGTGACCTTTAACTCATTCTTCCCATATTAAGATAACGCGCAATCAATAGTGCTTGATTAAGAAACTTTTACAGTATTGCATTTTAATATAATACACATTGGAATATTTCTTATTTTATTAATGTTGATTGATAGATATTTTTTTTTCATATGAGAGAAGTGTTGTTTCGAATTAGAATGGCGCAATAAACTTTAAATTTGCATATGTTTATCTGTATATGTATATGTTCTTTAAATACTTTTTAAAATAATTTCTTTAAATTATTTTATGTATTTGTGCGTTTGTATAAATTATTTAAAATATAAACGTACAATTTATAAGTTAAATAAAGAAGGGATAAATACAGACTAGATCTTGGTACCTAATGATATTTTATATATATGTAAATACATCTTCCAGTTATATAAATTGCGCACTGATTATTGTCGAACTCAACAGTAATCAAAAACTGAAACTAAAATAATAATATCACAAATTAAATTTATCGTCAATTTACTAATAATGCTAATAAATGTCTTAAAGCACTGCAAGCCCTTAAGAAAAAATATTTCGATATGCTGATTAACTAATGAAATATCATCAGTTACTGAATAGTTAATCAGTATACTGAAACACTTTTTCCTAAGGGAAGATTTTATTGCGAAAAATATTATATAATATTACAATATATTTTTTCATTGTTTTAAGATACTTATTAGCCTTATTGAGATACATTGTTACATTGACGATCAATTAATATTATTATTTTAGCTCTAGTTTATCATTTCTGTCAAGTCAATAATAATCGGCATATAGTTTATATAACTGGAAAATGTATTTAAAATTTACATATAAAACATTATCTATTATATACTAACATCTAACCTTGACCATATTTTGCCTTTTTTTATTTATTTAATTCTTTTATATAACGGTCTAGTTTAACTTATTGTACAATTTATAGCCTTATTTCATTCTTAGATTTTGTTATCTCAATTTTAATTATAAACTCTAATGAATTTGACATTTCAAAAATTTTAATTTAAATTCTTGACAAAAATTTGGAGCACAATTAATATTCGCCGTAACTTTTGTTTTTTTTAATTCAACAATAAAACAGCTCGAAAAATTTATGGATGATCTTAAATATATAAAATGATTCAGGATTCCATTTTTACATAAAACTATGTAGGTAGTCATGTTTTATTATTTAATTGTAATTGTTTCTATTTACTAAGAAGTACTTTTTATTATATTAAATCATTCTATCAATCACTTCTAAATTCTGAATTATAAATTAAGAATTATTATATTACGTTTTAAATTATAACTAAAAATATAAAATGTGTTGATGCTAAAAAGTAAAATAATTATATAGTAAAATTATGTTTACAAACGATAATGTTTTTATATGAAATTTTTTTTTAAGTACGAAACTACCGCAAGGTACATGAAATCGGTTAATACAACATTCGTGTAAATAAAACTACAAATTTTCGAAAATAATTGATTTATAGCAAAACAAATATTTCACAAAGTGTAGTATCGTGTTCGTAAACAAACATAAAAACGTAAAGTATTCAACGTGTTAACGTTTGGTTTTATGATTTATTGAAAACATGCTAATAAATCTAACGTTGTACAACAATTTCCTAGGAAATCCTAAATTTAGAATTTCCCGGAAAACCCCAACATTATTTTACGGCTCTAATATAAAATCTAAATGCATATCGAAAAATTATGATAAACGGTGGAGGAACCTATAGAACCTATGCATTTTTTAATTGTATACACACGACACTATTTGAAAATTCATGGTTGTATCAAGGGGTCATTGTGTACTTGAAAGGATGTGAAAATTACCAAAGTAAGCAAATTCATTAGAATGTTCATAATTTCATTGGTCAACATCTAATGAACTTGTTCGCTTTTGTAATTTCCACCTCATCTCAAGATACACGATTGATTCCCAGAATCTAAAATAACGATCATTCTTTAAAATACATACAGCCACTGTACCATCCAATTTCATTCTTTCTTTTTCTAGTATCGTGTCCGAGAAAAAAAATTTCTCTTTTAAAAGATAAACAAAAGAATTCGAATCACTGCCCGAAGATTGCGAGCCCATCGTCATCGACATCCGTCGGGGATGCGTTCTTAGCCGCGAGCGGGAATTTTCTCGGATCGAGTAGCGTCGCTACTCAAAGAGGAAGGAGGGATGTAGGCGGGACGCGTGTACTTACCGAGTGTCGCGCCGAAGACGACTAACGAGCGATGGCGTAGCCGTGAATGTTGCAGCTTGGCGAGACACCGCGACACTGACCGCGCGGCTCCTCGGTCCACGGCAGGACTCCCACGACGAAGACTCGCCACAGGGTCAGAAGTAATTCGAAACTGGTATCCGTCAGACCCATGCCCGATTAGCGCGTCGTCGTTCCTCTTTTCTTGCCTTTCTTCCCTCCGCCCTCGTCGACACCCCTGCGTTTCCGCGCCCCGAATTCTAGAATGGAGATTTTCTTCTTCCCGCGCGTTACTTTACGTAGAGGAGGCGACGCTATTTGCCGCGGAAGAAATGTGAGTTCGAATCCAGGTGGTTCCCGCGAATCACTCGCGTTATTCTACTCGAGAGAGTCCTCGCGCATTCCGATGGCGATCGGTGGGGTGGTGAAGTGAAAGGAGGTAGCGAGATCGCGAAAGGACGTTTAGAGGTGGACCGCGAATTTCGAGACGCTCTCCAAATACGCGACGTGCCGCCCCACCGCGAGTTACTTCCGGTGGAAGAGCGCGTCCCGTTCTCTCGCGAGAGCACTAAGTTGAAGCTAAGGAAAAGGAAAAAAGAGGAGTGGAGTGACGGGGATGCGAAACGGGGATGCGGTAGTATTTTTTTTCAGCACAAACAGAGGAACCTCGTCGCAAAGGATCGAAAGAGCGAGTGGCGAATTTTAGCGCCCGTCGGCTCGTATATACGCGACGTGGTCACGTGGTGCGTGACCGCGACCAATCACTGCACGCGCGCGTGCGCTGTCGCTCGATGGGAAATTCTACACACGATATTGATAAGAAGTCACTTTTCTAAAAAAAAAGGGGGAATGGAAAACATGTTGCATATATACATATATGAGTTTATTTTTCGTTTATTAATTTTTCATATATTAATTAATATTATTTTACTAATATATGTTAATTGAATTAATGTATATACATATAAATTACATATTATATATGTATAAATATACATTGCAGTTTATATATATAAATTAATATATATATAATTTAGTAAAAATATATATATTAATAGATATTAATAAAATAAAAATAAATAATATACATTAATAAACTAATATTAATTTATACATATAAATATACATATGCATATAGACACGCGAGCTTGCGTGTGTGTTAATAGTATTATGATATACAACATATTTTACTCGCAATCTTATTGCTTCCATATATTTCTTTTACAAAAGTAACGACATTTAAAATTGCATCAGCTGAGAATGAAGAATTTAATACTACATATGCAAAGTTCTTAAAAAAGTCAAAGATTTTTACATAATCATTAATAAATCGTTTCACTTAAGTGAGATGACGAATAGAGTATGTTTTTGTTAGATAATAGAAAGCATGATGTTGTGTCTTAGAAACGATAAGGAAATCATTTAATCTGTAAGGAAAAAGAAGCTGAAGAACAAGGCGATAATATGTTGTATAATTTAATTTTTTGTGTACACATCGATTTGTCTTTAAATGAAACTTTTTATAAGAAATAAATCGAAAGTTATACCGTATTTAATATTGTAATTAAAGTCATATATTTATTCTTTCAGTAATGACGACATGTTTTAAATACATACACACATATATACGCGCACACAAATACGTACACGTATTCTAGGCAATCATTATAAAAATGCTAAGAATCCGATTGGGATTTCCAATTAGCAAATTTCAAAATGTGTGGTATTTACCCTTGTACAAAGGAATAAATAACAACGGATTTTCCTTATTACAATGTGAAAGTTCAAAGATAACATTAAAGCTGGAGCACAGAAATGTTTGTTAAAGAAAAAGAAAATCTTTTAAAAAATTGAAAATTTTTTTCTGAAAATCAGAAATTTCTATATTTTTTATTAACATACATATTATATATATAGAGTAACCTTTAACAGCTACAATAAAATTCGTATAATAATAACAATCATCAATTTTATAGTATTATGAATTCATAACTGACTTTATCGTATTTCCTGAAGATAGAAACCGTAAACAATTAAATGCATTTTTTATCTTATTTATTAATTTTTATAATAATGAGAAGATACAAAAAAAATAAAAAAATAAATAATTTTCGAATTGTTCCTTTTACAAAATATCAAGTTTGGAAAAATGAGAAAAAATTGCCCATATACATTCACATATATATTTTTTTTAATCATGTAAATAATTATAGTTGGGCAATTTTTTCTTACTTCTTCAAACTTGATTTTTTATAAAAGAACCCTCCCCAATGCGCAAATTATTCCTTTAATTATTTTTTATGTCTTCTCATAATTACTTTTTTGTACAAAACAATTATTAATTAATTATTAATTAATTTTCCGAAATAAAGAAACATGTTACATATATGGACATATGCATTTTATAATTATATTTTTATGTTAGTTATGTAAGTTTATACATATTTATATGTTCTTATAAAAAAAATCTTGTACTAGACAGCATCTCGTTAGAAATAAATTAATCATTAATCTGTTCATCATCAATCATAATATTCATAATCATCAAAAGCATGCATAAAATATCATTTTTGCAATACAATATACAATTAAAAAATGCAAAATAAAAAAACAACACTTTAATTCTTTCAAAAAAATTCAGATTAATTAATCCTTTTAAGTTCAAGAAATTTTTCTTTATTATAAATATATAAATTGTATAACACGACAAATGTAACATTTGCTGCATCGTCAACCTGCAAAACATACATTATACGCATAATTGTGTTTTATAAATTATCTTTTATGCTATAATGTCTATAAGCAGAGAATAATCAAACTCCTATTAAAAAATAGAATGCCATTCTTTTTGCATCACGCAACAAGGTTGTAATTTTTTAAATAATAATTCAAAAACACCAAGATTATGAGTCACATTGCTAGGTACATATAACAATAACGTTTTATAAATTATTTTTCGTACTGTAAAAAGAGAATAATCAAACTTTTACTTCAAATTTTGTTTTATTGAAAAAAATTTTTTTAATATCTCTAGTCCTTAGATCGAAATGTTCCAAATGACAATTTAGAGATCTACCGTCTTCGAACACGGGTTTGAAAATATCGCGCCGTTTTCGTCGATTGGCCGGCCTTGCACCAATCCCGCGGGGTCACGAAGGCACGATTGCGAACGTATTACACGAGCGAAGGCGACGACCAGCGACGACGACGATTGTAATGGTTGGAATGGGCCGAGCGTAAGTCGTCCAAGTCGCCTGAAGCTGTCAAGCTGCATCACGCAGTCGTAATCCAGCTCTTCCGTCCATTCCCGTTTATCTCGGTCGACGACGGTGAGTAACGTGCATCTTTCGACGGACACTTTTCGTCCCTGCGTTGACGACGATCCGTCATCGATCGTTCATTTGGGTCGCGTCTTTCTCACTTTTTTTTCCTCTTGTTTTTTTTCCCCCCTTTCCGTTTCGCGCGCGATAGTGTCGATGCGATAAGTCGCGACGCTCGTCATCCCGCGACTTTTCGTTCGACGGCGCTTTCGCGCCGTCCGTCGCGACGCATTCGTGTCGTGCCATACGGACGCGAGCGATGGAACTATATTTCTCTCTCGTCGCCCGCAAATCGCTGTGGGGATATCATCGCTCTCTCGTGCGGAGAAAACGCGGAAACGAGGCGAGCCGCGCGGAAAATCGCGATTCTCGCGGCCAACAGCTGTAATCCTCCCCCTCGCTCCGCGAATCGCTTTGGTTGTTGATAGCTGGGTTCCATTTGCCGCTCACAGCGCATAGAGCACTTGTCCTTGTTTAACACTTGGTAAGAAGAACGATCGAGTAAAAAAGTAAAAGCGAGTTTTTTAATTCATCAACTCGCATTATACAACGTAAATGCAACTTTATTCTGTAAAAGCTGCATTTGCACATAATACGATTGATCAATCGGTGAATTAAAAAAAAAACTCGCCTTAATTCCAAGAGCCGCTGTGAGCATCAAATGGAAAATAGCTTATGTTTGTTTTGTATTACTTGGAGCCTCCAGAAGTTTTGCACTTCTGGAGAAAAACGAAATAAGTGTACATTCGGAGTCGTTGAGATCGAAGGGAGAAAGCGAAGATGCTGAGTGCAAAAAATGCGCAAGCAACAGGAGACTTAAACCAGAAACACATAAACAATAATCGAATCGGACAATCATAGAACTACTTTATGTTCTCTACAGTGATTGTCGATTCGCTTACTGCTTAAGTTTTATTGCCTTACATTTTTTATGTGTTTCTAGCTTTACTAATTACGGTTCTTATTGAGACGAGGTGAAAATTACAAAAGTAAGCAAATTCACTAGGTGATGACCAATAAAGTTATAAATATTCTAGTAAATTTGCTCATTTTTGTAATATTAAATCTGTTCGCGTTGCTTAAAATCTCCAAAATCCTTTTTCCTTATAAGGAGATAAATATATATATTCGGATGTTGGAACGAGAGAAAAAGCGATACTCGAATAACAGCAATCTAATTTCTACATTTTACGCTGTTTCATTTAATTTGTTAATGTTCATTTCTACCAATGTAAATTTACTTTAATCTCACGTTAATTCACTCTTTATCTTTTTCTAATTTTTAGAACTAGATAAACAGTAAATTAAATTGAGTTAGTTTATGTTTTTAAAAAAATAAGCATAAACGGAGTTACTAACGAGTGTTTGCGCGTTTGTTTAGCAAATCTCAATTGAGTTTGCTATAGGATTAGAAATTATAATACCGTGGATTTCTTTATCGTAGTTCTAATGCATGCTGTAAATTAATGTTGCGTATCGCAGTAATTCATGTAAATATCGATGATTTTCTCATTATTTAGAGTATCTACATTTTTCTTTAATACTCTTCCGCGATTTATGACTTCCTTCGGCTAATCTCGCAACACATCCTCTATGAACTTTCTAAACTTTTTAAACTTTCAAGATAAGTTTATATGCCACTTAATAGCATTATTTTATCTTATATATATTTTAAAAAATTCATGTATGTTAAAAATAAAATAAACAATTTATATTACAATAAATTTAATTAGAAGTCGAGTATATTAAATTTCTAGAAAAGAGAATAATTTGCCCACGTTATATGCAACGTCCTTGAAACTGTGAAAATCGATAATACAGTAATAATTTTAACTTGGACGTGTTTTAACGAATACAAAAGAATATGTATATTTTGTTATTGCGAGTTTAAACTTGCTCGCAATATCCTGTTTAAAAATAAGGAATATTCAAATTCGATTTTTCTGTGACAAATTGAATCAAACGAACGTTCTACTTCTCTTTCATGTGAAGGTATTATTTTAAATATTTAAACAAATTGTCATTACATTGACTATCAAGCTGATTTCAGAGTATATTGAGCTTAATAAATGTTGCATATTAAATATTTTATTGTTTTTTTAATGCCTTAAGACAATAAAGTACATTACATTAGTATAATTTATATTATTTCTTTAATGACTTAAATATTTAGTAAAATAATTCTTAATTTTTAACTAAATACAAATGGGTGATGAAACTTTCGCAGAAACTTATGTTATCAGATATGGATGATGTGAAAGTCAATATATTAAGTAAATAAACACATAAGTCATCGCATAAATAAACATATAAATCATTAAATTAATAAATGTATTCTCGAGCTCGAAAACGAAGTAACGAAATCTCTGTCATTGGAAGAAATAAATTTTATTAAATATTTAAAATAACGTGTAGCTCATCCACGTGCGCGATAAACGGTACTCCAACCTAGCAATTCCACCGATAATTTACACTGTGTAAGTTCGCAACATTTATGTCGCATTCGTGAGATATCTTTTATTGTACAGTCGTGTATGTCGTATCAAGCCAGATAAGAAGTCAGGTATTATATCCACCTCGCTCACACAAATGCGAGTAATTGCCCCGTTTTATACAAGACATCCTTGAAAATACGACAATTGATAATGCATTTTAGTTTAGTTTTTTGAAATAAATATAAAAACACATCTTGTTACTTCAAATTTAAACTCGTTTTTAATCAATTAATATTCTAACGTTCAGTGTTAAATATGTAGAAAAATTAATTAAGATAATTATTTGCGCTATAAGTGTATACTTATATGTAATTCTGCGCTAAATTACTTTATGTAATCACACGTATCAAATACTTGATAAAGAATTGCTAAAATATGTATTATTTGTTGGTGAGTCTTTTTTCTTTTTTTTTTACGTATATTGCTTACGTCAGTATATTGCTCCGTGTTTGTAAAAATAACCGACCATAAATATGAAATAAGTTACACGTTTCGCGGATTATCGATGGCAAAAAGCGTCCGGAACGCACGACGGAAAAACGTAGGTTGCGCTCGCGATGAAAAAGTAACATTGACATATCTAATAATTTCAATAATCGAGGTAATTTTTTAATTGTGTGCAGCGACAGATTTTGCGGAAGGTCACCCACCTACCACGATGAGCGACGAAGGATTCGACCCCTGCGAGTGCATGTGGAATCACATGTCCATGCAACATCTGCTTTCTATCGTAAGTAATACAAGAGAGAAAATAAATAAAAAATAAATAAAAAAAATGAGTTCGCCAGATTGATATATATTGCGATAAGATCGTGGTCGGATAATGGATGGCGACAGAAGGATGCATCTCCTTTTCCTTTTTTTTCGCGTTTAGGTCTCTTTAGACCGAACAATAAACGAGGTTTCTTGGACGAACTGTAACGCAATGACCTCTTCTGTTTAGCTGGCAGAAATTCATTGCGCCACGCGGTTACGTAAAAATGTTTCAATTACGTAAGTCGATTGCCGATGCATGATACATTACACAAATCAAACATGAGAACGTCGAATTATAAAGATTCGAGTGTAAAAAAGAAGACCTGTTCGCTTCTGTGGATAAATTCGTTTTTAAGTATACATTCCGTAACGAATAATTCTTGTTAAAACGCGAAAAAGTAATATATATACAGTATGAACATAACTTACGAGACACATAAATGTATCGATATATATATGTATGTATTGTGTATTGTGTATATATGTAAAGGCATACACTCACATAAAAGTCAAATCCAATCTTCACATTAATAGTAATTAATATAATCCATAATTGTTATATTTTTTTTCATATATTTATCGCACTTACATTCAGCGACGAACATCTACAGCAAATATAGTTACTTGTTTCACTGCATGTATTTTGCAAATTAATTTTTCCACAAATTGTATTTTACTGTTCCAGTTACGACAATCTCAGGATTATTGTTCGGATACTGAGTGTTTCAGTGTGTCGAGATGTAGGTATTCACTATTTGCCACTAAACACTTCTAATTAATATTTAATATTTAATATACTGTTCGACGAATTGTTTCCTACAATCGGTTTCATCAACATAGCCAATTAAGTTCCAACTTCAGTTCAAGTCTGTTTTCTTTGCAGAACTGAAAGTAAACAAAAGTTTAATAATTTAAGATACGTGAATTATGTGTTAGATATAATAATAAATTACACGATTAATTGTTAAAAAAGAAAAAAATAAATGTTTCCTTTTTTTAGTTCCAGGGCCGCAGACGAATGTTCGGGAATGTTCAGACTTCCTCTTTACTTGCTTAATTATTGGCTTCATCGCTCTCCTGTACGCATTTAGACCGAGATCTTTGCGACATTCGACCAGGAATGTTATCAACAAGAACAGCAATGAGCCCGTGAGTGTGCGTCGATTATGCATTATTGATGGAAACTTGAAGACGTATTTTGAGCATACTTTATTTGCAGGGTTCACACGGGGACGGTCCACCATCGCCGACGGTGAATTAAATAGTGCAGTGCGACATCGTCAAGGTTTTTGTTATTCACGGTTTTATATATCAGGATCTGCGCTGAACTTATAACAGAAATAAGAGACGGTATGATATATGAGATGATATTAATAAATCTAATGTACGCGCGTTAGCGAGCTATATCAGTTTGATTTTTGGAGACTTAACTTCCTTACACGTTGGTAATCTCAATTTTACACAATTTTCTCAATTGTATCGCGCGTATGCGTCTTTCTCTTTAAACTCTTTCTATAATAATCTCGTGCCGAGATTATATGTATAAGCATGATATAAAATAATTTTATCTCGACTTTTTGAAAGATATTGAAGTTTAACTGTTACATCTAACATGAGATCTCTAGCGTTCTAACATGTTCGTTTATTGAGAAGGTAATAACGGATTTAATTAATAAAATAACAAAAAACTCGCTCACGCGCAATAATAATAATGTATTATACGCGAATATAATTTAAAATTTTTACTATGAAAACGATAAAAAGATTAAATACCTGCGAACGAATAGTTATGTAATGAAATTATTTACTTGGTATATTTATATTCGAAAAATTATTATAAAAAATTGATAAAATCACAAAATCTAATTTGGTATATAAAAAAAATCTCCCACGTATAAATATCGAATATACAATTATATATCTGTTATAAATGTTTCAATAGCAAAATAATATAGAAAATTGAGAATTTCAGATCTTGTCAAGAAACAGTATTTATACATTTATTTGTTTTGTAATGCACGATTGTAAAAAAGTAAACGATTGGAAATGCATTTTTTTCCGTGCAATAAAATTAATAAACATTTAAAAATTAATTTTGTTATCCACACAAAAAAGAAAGAGCATAGTTTTGTATTATGTAATATAATAGTTTTGTATAATATATTTAGACACACACATACACGTACATGCGCACGCACGCACACATAAACAACACATATACACTCATATTATTCAAATAAAGTGGAGATATTTTGTCACACCTCAAACGTTTTACACAAATTAAAAGTTACAGATTTAAAAATATTGTATACAAATAACGTTATATACAAATAACGTTAGCAGTATTACATTATTTCTCCGTAACAGATGTGGGGGATCTATGATAAAATATTTTATATTAATAACAATGCTTGACGTTGTACATTCCCATATTGTCGATAATAAAACTGATTCTCCGCATTGTATAAAGTGGCTCTTTATTATGTTATTATAAATAATGTCAATATAAAAGATTCTGTAAAAAAAATAACATGGGACATATGTTTATGTAAAGGAATCCGTTTCGTACGATTTACATAATTGATTATACATATTTTCATTACAAAATAATTTTATTTTAGATAAAAATGCTATAGTTACATATAATTATTTTTGTACAATGTTAATATATTTAAACTTAGCTACTTACGTGTTATTTTATTTATCATATTTCGGAAATTTCTTTTTTAAATAAAATGGGAATTGTACATCAGCACAAAATTCACATATCTATTTTTATAAAAAATTGTAAATACTATTTGTAGAAATAATAACATATGGATATTATATCTTTTTTACTAATAGAAAAAACTAAGATAAAATCGAAAGTTTTTATATTAACATACCGAAATTGGTACATTTGAGCGGATAAAAATTAAGCATCAATTTGAAACTTGGAATTGAATTCCAAATTCCTGAGTATCCTTGCTATATATATATTATGATCAAATTTAATGCTTGGTGGTTTGGATTTTATATATTTATCAATCTTCAGTATCTTTAGTTCCTCAAAAACTATTTTCTTCTTTGTCATAACTGTATGTGTGTATACATATATGTATATTTATGAAAAATAATCTTCATATATGTATATATATATATGTGTGTATATGTAAAGATTAATTTTACAAATCACATAGTTGAATATTTCATATTACCTCACATGTACAAAATATATTGCACAAAATAGAGCTTTCCTTACGTCAAATTAATGTGCATATGTAGAAAACAGAAATACAAGAAAATACAAAAGTAAAATCACAATTACATTTAACAATAACTGATGAAAACCTTGTATTCATGTTTTGTACTTTTGGAAGATGACATAGCATTTTATAGGATATCAGAGATCTGAAATATAAGAAAATACAGAAGTAAAATAAGCATCACAGTTACTTATTTAACAATAACCGTGTAATGAAATCTTGTATTCATGTTTTTGTACTTTCGGAAGATGACAGCGATTTATGTATCTATTACATATGTATGTATTTACACATAAAATACCTTCTATATTATCGATATAAATATATATATAATTATACACGCTATATACAAATATAGTAAATTGAATGAATTATGCCTAAATGTATAAATCAAGATTGAATATATCTTACATTCAAGAATGTAAGATGTTGTATACAATCTCTTATGAACTCATACCAAATTTATAAATTCATAACAAATTGTGAAAACGTTTATAAATGATTGATATTCTGTTCAACAGATATTCTACGTTTAATATGAATTTGTGTATAATATATTTCAATCTTTGTTAAAAAATTAGACATATTGTTTTCATAAACGATAGATCTCTGGCATTCTGATATCGAAATATATAACGGACTAGAATGTATGTACAAATGAAAGAGAATGTATTAAATTGAAGTTTCAGAGAAATGCTGATTCTTATTATATCAGTTAATTATAATTTATATATATATATATATATATCTCAAAGATCTCACACTCATATATCACGTAGGCTACACAATCAGAGACTAAGAAAAAGCTTGAACGAATAAGGAGGATATGGATCTCTTAATCTCATCATAAGATTTTCAAATTAAATCTAAATCATTAGAATTTCGAAAGAAATATCAGAAAGGAAAGGAAAAAATCAAGGAGTAATAATACTTTTACAGTTTGAGAATTAATTCATTCTCTTAAGAAAGCATATATGCCTAAAGGAACAAAGTTTTACTAATCATAGAACATTTTTCTTAACATATATATTTCAAGGATGTTATTCTAAAATTTTATGTCAAAAATTCGAAAAGATGAAAAAACAACACAGATTTTTTGACAGATTCAAGTAGCTTGTCTGAACAGTAATTTCAGAAAAATATGATATAGTAAGAAAATCTCTTACATTACGTCGAAGAAAAAAGATTTTAGAGAAGGTCAAAGAGAAATATAGAATAAAGAATCCCATTATATCAACCATGGATTATATTGAACTTTCAATCATGATTTAGCCTGCAAACTACATATTTGAGATCTTTGAGTAATGTCCATGAACACATCAATCTTATATTTATAGATACTCAAAAATATTTATTTACAATAAGATATCAATCAAAATATCCTCTTTCATATTGAATTAGAAAAAAAAGTAAGAAAAATAATTTTTAAATCGTATTATTTTCTCTTAATAATCTCAACTATTGCATATTTCATTGATTTTAACGTATTTAATAGTCTGTATTTATATATTAGCTCTTAATTAATTAATCTATTCCTGTTGATGCAATCTTGCCATAGTGCTTCTAACTTTTTGCAAGACTCCCGACATCTGTTCAAATTTACCTGTTGAGTCAGGTAAATTTTCGAAATTGATTACGTCGGAAATGTCTTTGGAAAATTTTTCCGACGATGGTAATGTATTATAAGGAGAGGTACTTGGCAATATTGGTGTACCTAAATGTACCGACTTGACACTAGCTTGATTTGTATCTGAAGATTTGTGCGAAGTAGAACGAATTGGAGTAGAATCAAATTGAGGCATTTTATCGGAAGCTGAGGTGTCCAATGTAATCGTAGTGTTGAAATCATTTTTAAGTGATGTATCAGAACAGTACTGTAAATCCGACTTTACAGAATCTTGAACTGAAGATCTTCTCGAAGTACAAGGGGTAGTCGTAATACTGGAAAATGGCGTTTCCGATACAAACGCAGTATTCGAATCGTTTTTAGTTGATATGAAATCAGAATTAGACTGCGAATTGACCTCTTCAATTTCCATAAGTAATACTTTTTTCGTTCTTTCTAATTCAGACAAGGATGGCGAATTTCTGTTCGAAGTAGTGTCCTCCTGAAAAGACAAGGCAATTTTGTAAACAAGCAACGTTATCCAATATGTACACTACAATTTTGAGAAACTTTTACTGAAAATACTTGCAAAATGATAAACGTTATCCTTTTCATCAGCAATCATCAATATGTTTAATAAGAAAAATTGGAATACACAGCAAGTAAGAAATAAAGGTATATAAATTTACATGGAATTATTTAAAAGCACCTAAGATCCAACTTCAACCATTATTTTTTACCTATTGTATTCGCATTATACAGTCTTAATATATCGTTTATTAAAAATTATAATGTTTACGAAAAACTGAAAATCGAAAAAATATGAAACAATTATACTATTCATATTATTTTGTAACACAAATGTTAATAGTTATTTTCGATGTATTTTTATCCGTTGAAGACAAATCCGTTGTCCAAATTTGGTCATCAAGTAATAATAAAAAAAATATATATAAATTAAAGATACAAAAACGACAATTTTGAGGATTTTTATGACAAAGGATTTTATTATTTCGCGTGGTATTAATTTTATTACCTATGCTACATCATAAATCTTCAATTGTAATTTTTGCATCTCTGATGCTTTTTTTTTTAAACGACCTGATTGTCGAATTTAAACAATAGATTCGTGTTTAGCAGGTAAAAATATAAATATATCGAGAATGACTGTTCATATTCGTGTCGCAAAATAAAATTGTACAGTGTAATTTTTTATATTATTTTCGATTTTCATTAATTTTCCATAAACATTCAAATTTTTTGTATTAAATATTGACGATTGCCGATTAAATGGTTACTGTTGTTTATTAGTTTGCAAATAATTTTGTAGTAATAAAAATTTCATCAAATTGGCGTGTATAAATTGAATAGTATTCATTGTAAGATGCTTAAGAATATAATAATTAAAAATATGGTTCTTTGAAGACATACTGCAGAATCGGACGAAGGCAATTCTTGCGACTGCGAATCTGAATCATCTGTTTGAGGTAACTCTGGCGGTGGTGGTGGTGGTGGTGGCACTTCCACTAATTCTTTTGGTAACGGTGGTACAAAATGCCCATTAACAGACACATTCTCCACAATATTTTCTACTACAATGAAATAAAAAGAAATTATCTTTTATTTTTATAAAAAATAAGAAAAAAAAACGAATTGAAATTATTAATAATATGAACTTAATGTTGAAATAATTCTTATATATATTCACTTCTTGCGGTAATTATCTTTTTGAATAAAATTACATTAAAGTGATAATATTTATTCAATTGGAATATGATTAATAATTATACCTTCTGAATCTTCTATTTCCATATCACTGATTGTTGGTACATTTACATTAACTGGCGGAGGTAATTTCAGTTTTTTACGTTTGTAACCATCGTCTGTTTCTTTGCCTTGCAAATTTAATAACATTACCTGTTTACTATGTATAGATTGCATTTGCGGTACCCAATAGTTGTGACTCTCCTACAATCGACAAATTTTAATGCTTACGATTTCGAATACAAAAACGTTGTAAGTTACAAGATAAGATAATTTTCATCAATATTGATTATTCAGCTACACATTACTTACGTCTGAGATACCAGGAGGAGGTGGCACGTTAAAACCAGGAAAATCATATACTTTTTTAATATCATATTGATCTTTATTTCTATCTGTGATGATTTCGCCTTCTTTATGTGTATCACTTTCCGCTATTCCATCAGAATTGAACAGCGATAAACCAGAATGTTGTAAACGTGCTTCTTCCAACCACCCTGGAGGGTAGCCAAGTAATCTCATTCTAAGAAAAAACGTTTTGGCACGTAGAATGAACCTCATTGGCCCATTGAATTGAGAAATATAAATCTTTTCTTTTATTTTAATTTAATACTTAATTCATGTAAACTGTAAACGCACTTGCGTTTACAACAATTAGAGATCTCAAAAAAAATATTATATCGATTTAGAAATAGCAAACATGATATTATTTAATTAAAATTGTTTTAAATTTATTACTGATAATAAAAATATATATACATACATCGACTTAAGTAATATAAAGGAACATTTTTCCAAAATCCAATAGATTGCATAATTATGTCATACCTATATATGTGCCTAGGTAATTGATTGTCTTTCAATCCAAGAGCCTTTCGCAATTTTTGGCTTAATTGACCAGGAACCATATGACTAAATTTTTGGTCCTCACTCAAGTGATATCGGACTCCCGTATTATGTTTCGAAGCAAACTCTTTACGTTTTTTATTGATATTGCTTTGATTTCTAGGCAACGGACAATCTCGCAAATTATGATTTCCATCACAATTAAAGCAACTTAATCTTGGTATGTAATCTTTTGGTGTTTCATGGATTGATTCTTCAAATGTATTTTCATATTTCTAATATAAAACAATGTTGTTTAAAATAGAGAAATACGAAATAGGATATTTGCCATAACTTAGAGTAAAAAATATCACACAGAGAGCAATTGCAATATTTCCTAATTAGAATAAAACTTTATATAATGATTGTAAAAATATATACATATATATATATAACATAATCGTTATATATACGCATATATACATAGCTATATATGTATATACCTAGTCTTGCCATAAATTTTGTCAGTAGTTTAAACAGATAGAGCAAAAAAAATAACAGATAGACCCAAAATTATACATATATTCTGAAAGTAGAGGAAAAAAGCTACAAAACCATCTATTTTGTATTTGAAATGCCCGCCTTTGTTCCATATACATTTGCATAAACGTTGGGACTCATCGATCAATTTATGCACGATCTCCAGAGGACTCTTCTCAGCTGCTGACACAATCGAACGCTGGAGCGACTCCAAATTGCGGTGAGGCTGTTTGCAAGCCATCTCTTCCAAAACATTCCACATTTTATAGTCCAACGAATTAAGGTCCGGACTTTCAGAAGCTTTGATCATTGTTCTCCAGCCATGCTTGCGTTGTTTTCGCCTTGTGTGGCTGAGTCCTGTTGGAAGGTCCAAAACTGACCATCGAACAAAGTGTGACAAACAGTCAAACAGTAAAAGGCTTAACAGTCTCAAGGACCGTATTTTGATCAGTTCTGGGAGTCCGGACCTTAATTCGCTAGACTATAAAATGTGAAAAGTGTTTTGGAAGAGATGGCTTGCAAGAAGCAATTTGGAATTGCTCAAGCGTTCCGTTGTGTCAGCAGCTGAGAAAATTCCTCTGGAGATCGTGCGTAAATTGATCGATGAATGGTCTCAACGTTTACGCAAATGTATACGGAACAAAGGCGGGCATTTCGAATAAAAAATAGATGATTTTGTAGCTTTTTTCCTCTACTTTCAGAATATATGCATAATTTTGGGTCTATCTGTTGCTGTTTTTTTGCTCTATCTGTTTAAACTACTGACAGAATTTATGACAAGACTAGGTACAAGAATAAAAAAATTAGTTAATAAGGAGAGGCTATGAACTGTCTTATCAATTTTTATGAATTTACATGACATTTATATGTATACGTGGGAATAAGTAACAGAACACACACAATATAAAACCCTTTTACTTATTTAAATATAAAAAAATAATTCTTGAAAAATAAAAACATAAATTAAGAAAGATATTTAATGTCTTTAAAACAATTTGTCTGCACTTGAAATAAAATAATATTATATCAGGAGGAACACTCAACAAATTACTTGCCAAATAGAATATGATAAAGAACAGTTCATAGCCTTCCCTTGTAAGGTAGATAAATAAAAAAAGAGCACGTTACCTGACCATAAGTTGGAATATCCATATCATTCTTTACATTCGGTTGTTTATCAATTGTAAATAAAAAATCAGATATGTCACTGCATTGTATATTATCGTTTTCTACAAACTTTTTATCTTTGGAATCAACTCCATCATCCCAAATCTCTAAAGTCAGACTTGATTCATTTGAGTCTTTCTTACGACGGGGTTTCGAGCGCACTAAAGTATACAAGAAGTCTTTTATTTGTCGCCGATATCGCCTGCAAATATATGAAATTCAATAAGAATTTAAATTCATTAAAAAAATTCAGTATAACGAATATGATGATCTTATTCGCATATCCTTATGTTTAATGTTTACTAATACAACTATCAATGATTAACGTGTATCTACTTTTACTCCTTGTAATTTAATATATAAAAAAAGGAAAAACAGAAAAGCAAATTAATTTAATTCTTTACATATTGCAACAATGGAAAATCTCAGAAAATATAGACATAGAAATTATTAATTTGACAAATTAGAAACTAATTATTTGGACTGCTCCAGTAAGTCTGATGTTAATTTGTGAAATAAATCATTATATTTATTATATATTTAATTCACACACGTTTAATAATTCATGTGCAAATTGAATAAATTATATTTCTTTACTAATGTTTGTTGTATCAATATTATTGCTTAGTGCCGAGACACTGCCGGGTCTCCTGATAAGTATATCGCATATTATTGTTTTTCTTCAAAACATATAAATAATAATGATTATAATAAAATCAGTAACATTCCTATACGTCAGATATATCATTCTTGTAAAACCAGACGGAACAAATTCCCGCGCGCGCATTGTAAACAAAGCGCTGGAATATATGAGAAGACGCACCTTGAGACACTCTCGTCCCGAAACATAACCTTAAAAACGGGCTGCGAGTTGTTGTCGTTCGACCGAACGAATTGCGAATTTCTCCGCGAATGGACCCTCGTTTCAATCATTTCGATGTTGTCCGGAGTCGAGGCGTGACAGGTGCTCTTCGTACTGTAGACCTGAATTTCATCGTCGAGACAGGAGGTAACTTTCGAGTTGTAACTGGTATCCAGCTCGATCACCTCCGTCTCCGAGTCTTCAATGATCGACGAGTCCAACGGAATCGTATCCATGCTCACATTAAACACACGGACATCGCTGTCCATCGTAGACGCGCGACGTAAAGAAGCTTCGAAGTTTTCGCGCTCGATCTGTTCTCAGGACGAGGTGCGAGAAATCGAGAATGCAATCAACGCTACACGCACACGATTATACCGACGCGTATATGCAGTGCACTGTGCAGTACTATCTATGTATTGAAATATTGGACTGGTATTGGAACTTGGACGGAGCAGCCGAGCAGGACGGAGCAGTAATTGGTATTTAGCAGTTACAAATCCCCGCGCATGCGCAATGCGCGAGCAACGCTCAGATGCTACTTACAATTTTCTTCATTTCTACCAATGTAGATTACTGTAACTCGGTTTTACTTTATTTTTTACATAGATTTTAACAGTTTTTTTTTAAATAATTAAACTAAGAACCGCTGAATAGAAAAATGGAATTAAAAGAAAAATTGAAAATAAATACAAAAGAACAAAAAATCTTCAAATTTAAATGAAAGGTATTGGATGCATTCAGTACTACAACCACTGGGCATTCAATGAGCTCTTGTACACGTTTGGTCCATATTTTTAGATCTAACGGAATATGCCAATCAGATGGAAAAGCTCACTGAGCGATTGTCGTTCTGAATGCACTCTTTTGAAACGTTTTAGGAGCGCAAATATGAATGTATAATTTACAAAATGAAATTAAAAAATACAACAAAACATATATCAATAAAAAACATGAAGAAAGATTACTAAAATTTTTGGGTTAATCTAAATATCCGCTATAAATCAATAACAACATTATATTAATTAAGAGATTCGAAAATATACACTGTTAAACTTGAAAATATGCACTCATGTATTAGAGTGTCGATTGTGTACAGCTGGTTATTTGTGGATTCATGAATAAGAACCAATCGCTTGGTGAGTAAACTGCATTCCGAACCCCTCGAAAAAAAGTGTTGCAACCTTTCTGTGAGCAGCTGTATATCTTAGAACGAGGAGAGCGAGATGAAAATTACAAAAGTAAATTAATTCATTAGATGTTGACCAATGTAATTATAAATATTCCAATAAATTTATATTCATTTTTGTAATTTTCTTTTACCTCATTTCAAGAAATACAGACAACCTTCATATATCATTTAAAAATGATACATGGATAATTAATAATTATCCTGGTTTAATATTTGTCGAACAAGGCTAAATGATTCGGAGGGCCATTCGGGTGGGAAATCCGAACATAGTCCAAGAATTTACTTTAAAATTTTAAGGCCGGTATTCACAGTCGATTCTTATTTCAAGACCGTCTTAAATAATGTCGCTAATGCGACTAAACTTAAGACGACTTTGAATATAAGACTATGAATACCGGTCTATAATACGATATAAATGCAATCGTTTTTTTTTTCCGCAGTATAATTTTGCAGTGTGAATTATGTAATTTTGTCTCGATTTATGATTATCGATTACTCGCGAAATCAGCGAAATGACAAGTTAAGAAGTTTATTCCTTCATGAATATGACGCAATGCCATTCTTGAAACCACAGAGAGCCACGTGGTGCGAACGGCGAATAGAAGCTTGCAAACGAAATGGCTGGCGACACGCTATATACTTGCCCGAGACGAAACGTATAGCTAAAGCGCATTACAAGGGTGAATGGAGAAACGATAAGAGAGAGGGCAAAGGCATAGGAGTCAGCAGGTATCACGAAGATTATAGGCCTGTTCTTTCTAGCTAAAGTTCTCTTTTTCTCTCCAACGTGGACAGAAAAGGAGAAAGAAGAACCGTTCAGCTAAAAAGAACAGGCCTTATGTTCCCTGGAAGTTCTTCCCATTTAACGTGAATTGATAATATCAATTTCGCTTCATCTAATGTTTCTATATTACGAACAAAACACGCGTAAAAAATTATTATTATTAATAGAATAATCGTAAGATTTTTGTACAAAAAGTATAATTTTTATAATAGAATAATAGAATGTAAGTTATCTTTTCTGTGATGAATTGTACTCTTTTTCCATAGATCAATTACGTTTTAATTACCAATTAACATAAGGAATAGAAAAAAGAAAAGTTATAAAAATAATCGAAGAATTATATAAATTTTGTAATATCTTGATAGGCATCTTAATGTTCAAAATGTATATTAATTAATGGACATTTTGAACATTAAAAGAACTATTCTATGCATGATTTAATTATTATACTAAGATGTTTTTACGTTAAATAAATATATACAATAAAAGCATAGAACGTTTACTTTGTATCTATCGATTTAACATCATAACTCTGAAATTACTATCAAATATACAATGGCTGCCAAAAGTTTTTGGTCATTATATAATTTTACGATAATTTTTGTCAATTTATTTTTCTTGTTATAATCAACTTCAGAATTACAATATTTCGAATACTAATAGTAAATATATCACTTGTATATTAGATCTTTATCTGTACAAATTCTTTATCTGAGCAATACAATAAAATTAGTAAACTTATGGCAACCATTCTATGTTATACGCTGTTATATAATATCCTGCTTGCCCGCAAGATTATGTACATCCAAGCTGCCGATATTTCGTTAGGAATCGTTCCTTCGCAGTTACGGCTGGATATACGAAGGCGACTGGTATAACGACCAGAGACACGGTTACGGCGTCCTCAGTAAAATTATGCAAGACGGCGACGTGCGCAAGGTGTACGCCGGTAACTGGACGAAGGGAAGGAAGCACGGATTCGGAAGTAATTGGTACAAGGACGGCAGCTACTATGAAGGCGCATTTCGAGATAACAAGCGAGATGGTTATGGCCGGGTTTGGTACAAGTGCGGCAGCGGATATTACCAGGGCATGTGGTTGAACGATCGTTACCATGGAGAAGGGATACTCGTTCAAGGTTACGATTAATTAAGAGATAAAAAAAAGTAGATGTACATGTGAAATCTAGAACTGCTTCGCAGAATGAATCCGCTTAAAAGTCTTTCTCAATTTCTTTTTAATTACGTAATACATAGAACAAAAAGTGATACATTTTCCTTAGCGTCCTTAGCTTGTATTTGATTTTATTCTTTGCGTTTGCGAAAATTGTGAACTATAAATTACATTATTCCTCATTCAAGGCGCTTCGTACTTATATTCAAGAAAAATCCCTATAAATATTTATCTTAAAATCTTCATAGAAAACGGTAATCTTTACGAGGGTCACTTTACAAATGGCAAGAAGGAAGGTCGAGGTGTTTTCTACCATTTAGAGAGACGTCAAATACAGGAAGGTTGTTGGGAGAATGACGTCTGCGTGAACAGCACGATAGAAGACATCCGACAGCCAGCTTTATATCCGATATTGCACATTCCGAGGATAAACAGTCAAGCAGCGATATACTAAGTGCATTGCGTCACGTTTCGTTTACGTCTTTTCTCAGATCAATTTGGACATAATGGTTTCACGTTTCAATGGCCTTTCTCGCGTTCACGGCAAATGGAAAATATAATGCGTGCATATGATTTCTACGTACAATTTTTTTATTTTGGTAAAGAGAATTAATAAAGAGAATTCATTTTTAATTTTTATTTTGGCAATCAGCGCATTTCACGCGCCAAAATGATAAATACAAATAATAATCGAATATATATATGATGTCCCACTCAACGTATCTCTTTCATCTTTGCAGGGTAAGCACAAATCTCCAAACCATACTTTTGTATGAACATATTTTTTATTCGATCTTATCCTACAAAGATGGTGGCACATATGGCTTTAGGCCCAGGTTAGTGGAATCGCGATCTGAAGATCCGGATTCAATTCCATACGTGCTCCATATACACATTTTTCGCGTCTGGATATCACCGTTTCATCTAATTGCTGATTAAGGAGTAATATTGCCCCATCTGATGTGGATAATCTGCTTAAGCAGGAATAATTAACAACTTGAAAAAGATTTAAAACGGCCGTGGCGTTCTGATGAGTTTCATCTCGAAGCTTTACTACTTTAAGCTGATTCGAGATAAAATTTGTGATATATTACTAAGTGTGTCCCTCAGAAGGATAAATATTACTATCATCGCATGATACTATGGCCCTATATAGTGTGGGATGAAAAACCAAAAAGGAACTCAAAGAAGAACCCTGCAAAGATAGAGTGATCATATTGGATGGGATATCCTCTATTATGTCCGTACAGCACAGAAATTTTCAGCAATATTGTTGGAACGTTTGCAATGTTACTGCAATATTGCTTGAACCTTACAATGTTGTTACAATGTTGCTGGAATGATCTGTGCTGTGTGAACGTTTTTGACTTTCATTCATCGAAATGTAATATCTCGAGTGATATCGTGTACCTACATCCGCTTTTTGATATTTCGTTTCTTATTTTTACGGCAGTCAAAATATTTGAATACAATATACTCGAGAGTAATGTACTTGACGCGCTAAAAAATGATAAACAAAACTGCTATCTATTTAAGAAAAAATATCGACTTTCGTGTGTCGGCGATAGCAGAACGTGTCGGATATAATGTACCTGCCTAGTATAACGTTGCAATAAATATAAAATCGATCGCGTTTCTCGAATAAGCACATTTTTTGAAAGATAAGTACATTCGGGTACATAGCCAGTCATGTCACCTCTCGATAATTCAGGCTATTATATTATCGCCTTTTGCACTGTATACGGCGATAACACGCGGAAGGATCTGGTAATAGCCTTAAAGTATATTATTCTTCCTACGTTTTAAGTCGCAACGCGAATGAAGGAATGTATTTTGTACCTACATTATACAACGATGTTATCGAACTTCGTATCCTTTCTGAAGTCGACACGATGCTTTTATAACGCGTGCATCGTGCAGATGAACGGAGTCTCATCGTGCTTATACTAATTTACATCACAGAGAAACACGCGTATAAAAAAAGAAGAGGAAGATCCTTATCTTTTGACCGAATCTTCGCAACATCTGTAGCGCGTGTGTGCCGATGTGTGTGAAGAAAATAATTGTCTGTCATGTTCTTCGAATGATTCACGTTCGAAAGATTTTCCTAGCAGAATCCTCCGAGAAACATCGCAAGCGCTCGTCGCAACACATTGTCTTAGAAAAGATCTCTGCCTCTTTGTCTCTATCTCTCTTTCTCGCCGTGTTCCGCGGAGCAGAAATTCTTTTTTGTCGCGTTCGATTCGCGAGTCCAATTTCGGCGGCAGGAAAAATTGCGAAGACCGATTCATACGATATGCGTTACTCCGGTCTGCAAAAGATTCACGCCATTTCTGCCCTCCACATCCGTGGACTCGATCTGTTCCTTGAGTAACTCGAGTTCTCGTATACCGGATACTGTGACTTCGTACTTGTGCGCAACAAGACTCCGATAGAAATGTATCGCGAACGCAAGAAAGATTATCAGCACTGGTATCAACACTATGCAGGCCGACCAAGCAGCTACCTGCGAAAAGTCATAGAACTTCACCCAGCAGAGTATCGCGATCTCCAGCAGGAACAGAAGGAGGCCTAGCAGCGTGGAGAAGGCCCACGCGACCTCGATGTACCAATGTAGACGCTCATGTGGCGACTCGTGCACAAGGCTTATGCTATGCAAATTGCAGACGGCTTCGATATTCGGCAGTATACAAGTGGATATCATCAGCGCCAACATGTGCACGGCTACGAGCAAGGTTGTGCACACGGCGAAGGCGATCAGCATCTCCGGTGGAACATGCGTTTCGGGATTCAGCTGCACTTCTACCATGGCGACCTGTGGACAATGACCGATCTTTGTCGAGTCTTCAAAATTACCTCGGCGCATTTATTATCCAAACAGTATCGAGAAACGTGAACTGTCGTCAATCCTACGTTTTTCGCGTGGTTTATTTTTTAACGTAATTACTCACGTAAAGTGTTTCTGATTCAAACATTATATGCCAATTTTCATTATTCTCTTTAATGATTTACAATTAAATAAAGATTGATAATTCTATACTTCTTCAGATATAAATAAATGCAAAAATTGTTTTTAAATCGTGCAACAATTTGCGCCAAATATAATAATGTATGTAAAAAACATACATTTAGTAGTTTGATAAATGACTCGATAAGCGACTTGATGTCCTGGACGAATACACGAGTGTAATAAAAAGTTAATAAGTATCAAATAAATATCAAAAACGCATTCAGATTCCACCAACTCGCTGTATATTCGATTAGGAAGCAATAAAAAAATATAACAAACTGAGTTTCTTTCGAAAATATTTAAATATTTAACATTTAACATTTAAATACGTATTACAATTTTATACGCGCACGTGGATATTTTTTATTTGCGCAGATATTCGTTAGAGAAATATTCGCGTTGATGAGTTTGTTCAAACAATACAAATCGCTTCCGGAATTATGCTCTTCAGTTCACAGAGATTTTTTTTTTTTCATTTCCGTGTAATGATTACAAAATCAAACGATGCAATCTATTATGGTTAACTCGATTAATTAATCGCGAAGGATGCGGACACGCATCTCTATGAATATAGAGAGATCGTGATAAAAATTTATCGCACTGAACGGTCCGACGAAGGACTGTTTCGTTTCCGGGAGCGACGTTTTCTTACCATAGCGAAACCGGAGAGCAGGGCTGATGTTTTACTGGACGCCTTGAGTTTCGCGCGGCTCAGCTGCAGTTTTCTCCAGGACAAGTAGCCCGGTGTGTGAAGGCCATCCCCCGCTTGTGACATCGTCGACTGTGACGAACAAAACGAAGGTAGAGATAACAAATTAATTTAGAGTGGATGGAAGGGCGCGCAATCGTAGGAAGAGATATGTGATCGCGTTCTCATTGTCTCAGAGAGGAAGGTATACTATAAAGCGCCTGCGACACTTGACCTTGCGATCTCACGGGGGATAAACTCTTCGTGGAAGCTTAAGCGCGAGTAAAAAAGAGAGGCACGTACCAGAAATCGATGGCAACGTCGGTGCCAATGGGAGAACTTGCCAAAAGTCCCGCAGTAGTAGGACAAAAAACCAATGGATGCTGAACGAAACAAATAATAAGGAAAATTAAATTAATGAAAACTGTAGAAACGAAAACGGTGGCTGATACGTTACGGCGAGATCTGACTGCGTCTTGCTGGAGGTCTGGCGAGCATGAGGACGAAGAAACATGTGCACACACACACACACACACACACACACACATATATACTCGTTTACATGCACACATATTATACATAGAAACATTGCGTGCGAGGGAGCACTTGCTGATGCATGCATTAACGAGAGGCTTTACATCGTGACTTATTGTTTCACATATTCTCCGGGAAGATGTTACTCAGTTTAAATTACGATCGCCGATCTTCGCGCGATTGAGATTTCCGGTTGGGCGGAAATATTAGTGAGATGTTAAATAGAAGATAATGAAAAAGTATGATCCGGATGCAAAATGCGCGAAAAAAGTATACATAGAAAGTAATGTGTATGAACGATATATAACTATTGTAAAATATTGCGAGTACATCTTGTGCAAAATGAGTGCTTTCGAAATATTCTCGATTCTTTTAGCGTTTCGTATGATCTTTACTTTCATGTCCAAATCTGACGATATTGAATATAAATAATAATAATTTAATAATAAATATAATATCAAGAAATATCAACTTATGATATATAATTAAATAATATTGTTGTTTTTTCTACCTACGTCAAAATGTATCATTGCGTCTTGATACGTCTTGAGAAATGACTGACGAGCGAAAAAGAAACATGTTGTCACACGATACTATCTTTTGTTTGTTAAAGCTAAGAAAGAGATATATGTATTCAATGTCAATCTGTGTATTTCAACAACTCAATGTACACAGGCAAACAGTTCCAAACATTTGCACTTACTCGCGAGTTACACGCCAGACAACACGTATGTATACAATCAGAATTAAAGAAAGACCTTTTTGCAAAAGACGCTTTTAAGATGCTTTATGTCCCGATTTTGGATTTTGCGTTGTCTAAGATTGCTTCGACTTGTATATGTACATATACTATATCACATTAATCAGATTATTCACATTTCTTCCGTCAAGTTTTTTTTTCGTGAACAATAAACGGGTGATTATAATAAACACGTGATCAGCACACGGCAAAGCACACATTACGTATACCAATAAGTAAAAAAAAGAGAATGCATACATAATGAGAACGTCGCATATCTTGTATCATTATTTACAGATACGCATGTTTATCTAATATTATATCGTTAATCGCAATAAGCTCACAATAATCGAACATGCAACTCCCGAAGAAAATGCACATAAATGCACATAAATTTTCTTGCTATAACAACGATTAATTAACTATCATTATTTGAAATCTACATTGCACAATTGAATGTACCAACATATTAGTAATATCGGAAATATATTTCATTCGATGAAAACAGTTTGCCATGAATTGCAAATACAAAGGCAACTCAGTCTTCGCAGCGTGCAAAGAAAAAAAAATGGGGAAGTACAATATTACGACGATATCGTTATGAACGACATCCGGATAATTATCAGTACGTAACACACATGCAAAGTGAAGAATTGAAGAATATGCGACTAATTGCGCGTTCAAAGTCAGATGTAACAACGGTGTTCGAAAAAATAGCGTATAATTCGTAATAGCGTTTTTCATTGGCAGAACTAGTGCGCACTTAGTGCACTTTAAGGCTATTGTACACAAATCGACATAAAGAGGTACATTTAATAAAAATATAGAAACGAATTAAACCGCGAAATATTCAATACATTTAATTGTGTTATTTTTATAAAATACACACTGGACATTTTATCAATTAAGATATCTAACTTTTACATTTAGATTACAATAGTATACAAGTTTGTGCGCATTAATTTTGCCAATGAAAAACGCTATAAGTGAAAAGAATCTTTAAGAAACACGCATTTGTTATCCGTGAATAATCACAGTGAAGTTGACGGTAACGCATTGATGCTTAATCGATCAATTACATGATCGAATTTTAAGTAATGTATTATTTTAAAGCAATCTAGAATAATTTCGCTGGTAATTGTATACCAATGTCAGCAATACTTCTGTTTTTATAAAACCATAACGTTGTAAGCTTTAATTATATTGGTATTAAACGTTGAACTCGGAAAAAAAATTTGGGCATCTGTAAATATAATTACGTGTTACTACAATTATGATTATTACTGCTGTAATGTTAATAATAATATTTATATAATATTAAATTGTTGTCTCAAAGAATATTTAACTAAGTAATTGCAATTATTTTATGATAATAATAACTATACCCAAATAACATGCATGTTGCATAAGATATCCCAAAAGACGTCTTTTAGACATTTTTTACACATGACATCTAAAAGACACCTTTTAGATATCTTGTGCAACATAAATGTTATTTGAGTAATTACAGTCATTTTCAGTTGTCAACAATATACATTGTTAATATATATTGAATGAGAACTATACATATAGTTATTATTACTAACACTATAGCAATAATAATCGTATTATGTAACATACAATTATAGTTACAATTCTCCTCTCAGTGCAAATTAATCAATAATATACCGACATTAGTATTATTACCGACTAATTAATAAATTAATTAAATTCGTTATCATATAAAATTGGTATTGTTTACACCGTTTTAAAAATTCCTGCTCTAAAGCGGCCTTAAAAGTATTATTACGAATACGAAGAAAACAGATCTATTATTACGGACTCAATGAAAACAGTTCTACGTGCTAGAAACATGAGAAATCTAATGTATATTGATCCTGCTACGATCTTACTATCGAACATTTCGATTTCCCCGTAATGCATCGGAAAATACTTTAATAATAGACTACGATTTTTTTAACATAAAAAATGTGCATTATATGTACATAAATTAGAAAATTGAGTTAATCTTAATTTTTCTCTACTTTCATTTTTGTAATTGCGCAATAATTAGACTTGATAAAACCTTATACGATTTAATACGTTATTTTACGTAGTAACGAGAGATAAAAAATATAATTGAGTATTTTTATGTGCAAAATGGGGGTTCATTAATTTTAAAAAATAACAAACTTAATAATTCTATCAAATCTTAATAATTTCTATCAATACGCGAATATTGTGAGAAACGCATTACATGTTGAGTAGAATTCTCCAGAAATAGAAACGACTGTTGTTTATTACGTAGAGTAAATTGGAGAATTCGATAACAAAAGAGACGAATTAATAATTATTTCATTCGTCTCTTTTATTATCGATTTCTTTATTTCACTCTGTACAATAAACAAATAATTCTAATTTAAGAGAATTTTACTTTTACACATAAAGTGCGTAATTTCTCAATATCGCGTATTAATAGAAATAAATGTAAATTGAAATAACAAGTAGATAATTGTAAATAATTATTTTTAAAAAAGTAAATATTTCATATAATCACTATACAGAAATAGAAAATGGTTTATTTGAATGTTGCGAACGTGAAATAAACATTCACTATTTATATCGTAAATATTTATATCTCACACATACAGATACCATTATATTATATATATTTATATCATTATATGTATTTGAAACTTAAAATTTTAACACTTGTGCTAACAAATCATTCTCAGCGAATATGAAAGAAATAAAGTCTTTAACATTCCAATCACTTATTCTGCAAGTTTCCCGGCAATAATAAAAAGAACATTAATTAACTCAAATCAGCCGGAGAATACCGGGAACGAGAATAGTAATGACATAATGAAAAGCGAAATAAGATATAGGTAGTCAAGGTGGCAACAGAATAAACGGAGGAGAGAAAGAAACGTATATATATACATATACACGACAGACGCGTCTCGCGGAGCGGATGAAAAAGAAAGGATCTCTGCCGTGGAGAAGGATCAGCTAAGGCGAATCTACTGACCTGACAATGATCGTGGAACGGTTTGTGAAAGCAGTGGCCGTCAGCGTTGCGCAGGTGTTCGTGCACCACGTGTACGTGGGTCGGCAAGTGCGAAGAGGGGAGCACTGCTCCGCTGCTCTCCGCGCCAAACAATGAATTTCGTCCGGTGCTGGTCGACCATACGGACATCAGGCTTGATCCTTGCGCTGCTCTGTCCGGAGCTGCAATGAAATCGGAATGAATAGAAAGATTTCCCGATCACGCGATCGCACAAAACGGTGGTACTACCGTTCAAAAAATGGAATATCGAGGATAAATAAATATGAAAATAGGGGATATAAAAAACAAATCTACGTTTATTCAGATTACGAGATATATCAAGGATATATACGACTCGAGATATGACATTTCCATTTGAGATGTCTATTTCTTCCTGACGGATATAGTAATATGATTGTTTCATTCCTCAAGTATAGTGGCTAATAAAAAAGTATCGTTTGAATCTTATTAAACTTCAAGAGAGACAGGAGATGTGTGCTTTAATTGGCAAAAATGAATTTATTTCGGGGAAAGGAATAAATATATAAACATAATTTTACGTTTAAATATTATTTATTACTATATTCATAATATAAGAAATTAATTTGTAATATAAAATTTGTAAAAAATATTTTGTTTTATAGATTTAACTTAAAAAAGACGTTTAAAAAATGTTATTGCATAAAATAATAGCAACATAAATAACAATGTTTACGTGAAAATTAAAGTTTTATTTTTATGCAGTTGTTACCATTTTGTAACAACACTTTTTAAAGATCTATTTTAGGTTCCATTTGAAGAGCAAAGTGTCTTGAGGAAAATAACTAGGTGACTAACAGATTACTTCTTCAAGTCATGCAATCGTGGTGAAACGCAAGGCTTAAAAGTTTTGGGCCTGTCTTCAATGATAAGAAGCTCCTATATTTTTAATAAAATTTGAATTGCAAATTAATTTTCTATATCTCATGTAGGAGATAGTAAACCTAAACATAGAACTGTCCATTAATTGTTTTCCTTAAAACAAATTCACAAATTTCGCTTTTAATTCGATCTCCTGTCCTTCCTTAAATGTTGGAAGTTACGCATATTGTATTAAATATTTCCTTATGAATAAAAATATATACACATACAGGGAGTCCCAAATCAAAATGCCATAGCCAGAAAAAAAAATAACAAACTTAATAATTCCATCTAATCTTAATAATTTCTATCAATACGCGAATATTGTGAGAAACGCATTATCTTATCGAAAAAAATAAGTTAAAAGGGTATTTCCCATTTTTTGTTTTGAGCAATAGTTTTAAAATTGATCAATTAGAGATTACGGATAAATGGTTGTCTGTCCATGAGTCGCACATCGATAGCGTTAATAGTGCTTTTCATTTAGTCGAAGACACAAGTCGAAGACAAACATCATTCTATCTTCTTCGGAAAGTAACAAAGATAGGCCAACACTTATGTCGACTTGTGTCGGTTTGTATCATCAAATGGAAACCACTCATTGGTGCGTGGCGACAGGTAAACAGTCTTTTAACCGTAATCTGTAACTAGCCAATTTAAAATTTTTATATCTCAAAACTACTTAAAATAAAAAATGACAAATATTTGAACTTATTTTTTTCGAGGACCTTCTCTTATTGTGGTATTTTCATTTACGAAAATCGAAACATTCTGTATATCATATGTATAAATATATATATATATATTGGATTTTATGTATCTATTTTATTTCATCGTTTTAATTTTAGATGGCAGAAGTAACGCTCCCTCGTAGAGGAACTCGATAATTCCTCTCCCCCTCCCTTCTCTCTCTTTATTTGAGGTTACATTAATCTTAATTATTTTCTCTGTAGTCTAAGCGGCAATTCTTAACGACGTAAACAGTACGACAGTAAACAGGCGCTGAAAGAAATAAAATATCAAAGTATCGTTCACGTATCTCATCGCTGTTAATATGCGGATCTCGGTATCTTCCGCTTTCGATTTCATGGAACATCAATTTGACACGGAAATAAAATCAAAATGCATGAGATGCCGAAGTATTCTACACTTTATAACGTGCCAAGGAATGTAATTAGAACCAGATATATCTATGTATGTATATATATCCTCGATTCACTTGCTATTTTGCGATCGTTAATTTTGTCCGCTATGTCAGACTTCGAGTTCGGCACTGAATCTCGATCATTTATCTTTTTTAGATAAAGATTTTCTGACGATCATACATTCGCGTGTCTAGAAGATCGCACTTAAAGAAAAACACATAATGATAGCAATTGTAAAGGTAACAACTGGATACAACTGTATAAATTTTATACCTAGAACAAATATACTTTTTAAATTCTTTGGAGTGGAGCCTTACTTTAAAGAATGATAATTAACTCAGTTCTATAAAAGAGTGACTCAATTTTATATTTAATATTTAAGAGTGAGATTTCAGTGTTCAGAGTGATTCACTCTAAACATTTTAGAGAGTAGTTTAATAAATTATTTTATAATTATAGCAACTATAGAAAATATTCAATTATATGTATATGAACATTAATTGGTTCAACTATGGATATTAATTCTACATATCAAACTTGTATATCATATCGTCACCTTTAATCGCTAATTTTTTTTGTCTAAGTGCGCGTGAACAAAGTTTCAATCAGTGCTGTCGTACAAGAATTATTTTTTTAATTTATCTGTGGAGGTATGAAAGAAAAAGAACGCAATGGAGATTTATCAATGGTGCAGTATTACGAAGTAAAATAATAGGATGCGAAACGCGATACACTACTTAATTTGTTTTAATGAACGTGTCAATTGAACAAATCACGCGACTTGTACGCGTGGTTGGCCGATCATACCGATTACAGCAATGCCGGAGCGATCGAAAATCCGCAACGTAATAGAGGCCGGTGAACGTCTCGGTGAATTAATGCGCTCGTCGCCACGTATGCGTTCTTGTAACACGCGTGCAAGGTCGAAAAATGTGATACACGTTCGCCGGAAAGCGGTCTGGGTCAAACCAGTGCAGCGAGCTGGTTTGAAAAGGATCGCCGATCTGAAAGTGTGATTAGTTGGCAGAAGATAATCAGACCGTACCGAGAGATGCGGTCTTGGCAAAATAATACAATGTCTCTTTTAACTTACGAATTATAATTTCGAATCTAAAAAGAAGAAACATGAACAAACGTTTCATATTTTAGTTTTTACACGCATTTTTTTTTCTTTTTTAACACATCGTCTTATATTTTATTTTTCCCGTGTTACATTTATTTCGAATTTAAAAAAAAATAATAATTAAGCTGCTCTATGTCTTCAAAGCAAAGGATAAATTATAGTGATGCGAATAAAGCAGGAATTTCAACTTATGAAATTGATAAATTTGAAGTATCCTTCCTTTTTTTGTTCTTACAAATCGATTGTTCATTAAAAATTTCACGATAATTGATGATTAACGGGTATCAATAAATGACACGAAGGAATAAGGCACTATATTAATTGATATTAATATTATCATAGAGTTATGCTTTTTCTCATAATTTCATATATACCTATGCTCCTCCTTTTATATTTTTTTAAATATATAAAATATATTTTATATAAGCACTTGCACGATTATTTTATTCAAGATATATATAGCGATATAGAGATAGATAGCGGAAAACACAAAATAGATTTGATATAGTCGCAGTTATTCGATTGCATCAAATCTATTTTGTATATTCTCCTACCGATATCCGATCGTCTTCTATGATAGTCACAGCTAGGCAGTATTATAGTTTACAAACACGTTTTATTGCCCAGAGGGATTACAATTTTAAACGCTGATTCATTTAAAACGGTTTGTATATTCGCATCTCTCGCACCGGCGAAGATAATCGCCCTTAGTATTCGCAATCATTCTACTCTGTCGCCGTTGAACGCAGTGGCGTAATCACCAATCGATACCTTAATATATTCATTCAATTATTGAATGATTAAGAATTATTGAAAAATTAAATTACATAAGCAACAAACATAAAAATTATATAATTTGCAACAAACATACGTATACTTAAAAAGGACACTTAAAAATTTATTTGTGAAAAATGTTCATTGAAATAAATTTATTTAAATACAGCGAAATAAAATTTTATTCCTAACAAATAAATCGTTTATTTTAGTTTTTATAATTAATGAGATACATCTCATAGAAATATGTATTTTGCTATCAAATTTTTTTATAACCAATTAATATAAAAAAAAAACGTCACATGTAACATTTAATTACGAATATTTTAACTTTTTGTTCTCAGTATTTTATTACTTTTATTATATAAAAACTTACACTAATTATATAAATTGTATTTGTGTTATTAATTTACATTTATATGTATAAATTAGATTTTTTTACAGTATTTTTTACAATATAAAGATACTTGGAAGCTATTTAAGGGATTTTCTTTAGATTTTCTTGTAAACATCCTATATTATTTTACTTTGTAATTCTCATCTCTCTCTCAGGAAGAAGATTTTACAATAAGACGTACAATGAAAAAAATATTGTGATTAAACCGACAAGAATAATTTGATGAGAACTTCTGTTCAGTCTCATCAAAATGCCATTCTTATTGGATCTCTTTTTTTATTTAGGACATTTAGGCCGGTATTCACAGTCGGATCTTATATTTAAGACCGTCTTAAATACAGTCTTGAGATGTCATGAACCAGAAAATCAGAAGGCCGCATTAGCGACTTAAGACATTACTTAAGACGATCTTAAAATAAGAATCGACTATGAATACCGGCCTTAGGTAATCAAAACATTTTTCTCATACAGGTATATTAAGTGCGAGCGTACACTGTTAGAAATGTAACCACGAGCTTCCTTTACGTGTAAATGAAGCTCGTGGTTATAAACGAAATTAAAAGTAATGAATAATTTAACTGAAAATTTAGTTACAGTAAAAATTTAGTTACTTAAATGTAATGAACCTGTATATTAAATTTATGAAATTTAATGTATTTTTAATATAAAATTTTATGAAAAGTACATTAAATTTCATAAATTTTCATGAAAAATACATTAAATTTTATGTACATGTACATAAATATACTTTTTAGTTACAAA